AAACCTTGTGAGGGTACTACCTTTGTTTACACTATCTAACAGAAACTCAATATACTTTACAAGCTACTATATTATTCTCCTTTCATTTTCTGACTACAGGTAAGGAAAACTACAGTAAATGCTGTTTCTAGATATTTTATGAATGACCTTAATACTCTCCCTGATTCCCAATTTATAAAATGGAGAATGGTATCTGACACTAAAATAAACTGAATTTAAATTAATTGAGGTATTGGATAAAAAGTTCAATGTAAAACTTTAGTTTGTTTTTTCTATGAGTTGTTTTAGAAAGGAGACACCAAGTTATGTTGCTCTTTCTTTTCTATCCTTTTTTAGATGAAATTTAAAGGTTTTTGTTAAAAGTGTCATTTCTCTTTGCTCTAAGTATCTTCCATTCCTTTCAAAGTGTATGTTGCCTTGCAGATAATTCACAACTTAATTGAGATAGGCTCAATTTAAAAAACAAAAATAGGTAATAATATTAAAGAATACCATCAAGCTTGTTCTTCATATATGTTTTCATATTATTTTCATTAAAGTATAAATTAGATGGATAATTATAACTTTAGCAAAGTAAACCTAAAAGTAGAAACACCATGCCAGAAAACCCTGTGTATCTATGTATGTATGTATGCACATGTGTGTATCACTTAGAATATGTGTACCACAGAGAAACCAACAGAAGCAGCAGGCTACAATTACCCCTGTGAATCTTTCAAATATAATTTGAGACATGTTAAAACTGTTTCAGAAAGTTTTTATTCTGTATACTAAGCAACAGAGGTGGCTATTCAGGAAGAGGTTATAGAAGTTGTTCTGCAGAGGTTTTTTTGGCTTCCGCACCTCTGAGATTACACTATGTTTATTGCCGAGAAGTATGTGTGAAAATCCCCTACTCTGAGCCACATGATGGCGCTTTTAGCTCTGTCAGCATTAACCATTCACCTCAATTTGATCTTTTAAATCATAACTTGCTACTCAACATTTGTCCTTCCTTCTTAGTTTTAACTCCTGATTTTTTAGGTTACAATTCAAGAAACTTCCCTTCTTCAAAGATTTGTCAGAACCTACAGTCAACCAAACAGAATTTATAAATGCAACTATATGACTAAATGAGCACACTGTCTCAGAGGAACAAAACTGTGTGGTCTGTTTCTGGCCACCAAGTGGGTAAAAAATTTCTAACTCACAACACGAGAAGCATCACACTGCGTCATGACTCAGGCCATCTAGGTCAATGTTCTGTCTTTGACAGGGTATAGGAGACATTTTGTGAGAAGCACTGTGGCTCTCCATGATATTAAGGAGATACTCCAGATATTTTTCCATACCTTAATAAAAAACTGAAGGCCTAGAAAACATCTAAGGCCCTTTCTGATTCGAAAGCCGCAAAAGAATTATGAATTTGTCTAAATCTTTCTTAAATCTATTTATACCTTTTTTTTTTAATTTTTACCAATGAGATGGTAGGCTTATTATGGTATAAAACAATATGTTAGAAATTTTAAGAGACACTACAGGTTTTAGTATTTTAGAATCTGGTGAATAGATTTATATTTGCTTTCACAATAATGTAAGAAAGACCAATTGTGTTAAACAATATTCTATTTCAAATGGTGTGTAAAATCATGGTATCCTGCAGATGTCAACTTCAAGTTGCCCTGGGCATAATATAAAGCATTCCTGGTTATCTTTTATAATTTAAAAACTGTGATCCAATCCTTTGTAAGCCTTCATCGTTACAAACTGAAGAGTTCAAATCATTTAAGACAGTAACTTTGACTCTATATTCTTAAATGAGACAGACTTCCCTACAAGGACAAGGTAGTATAAATTTCCCTAGTCTTATGCTGATAATTTTAATCATTTTTATAAATAAGAAATTTCCTTATCTAGGAAACTTTCACTATAATAGCAGTGACTGACTTAGAACTGTAAAAGATAAGAACTAAAGGGAACTAAGAGATTAAATGTAACTTTCTACTTTACAAATGAGGAAACTGAGGATTAATGTTGATAACAGACTTTCCTGGAATAAAACAACAAAATACGTAAGCTAGATCCAATAAGACAGTGCTCTGAAAACTGCAGATCAGGACCACCAATTAAGTGGCTGATTAGCAGCATTTTAAAAAAGTAACAGTACAAAATATCAGAGGCTTTTCATGTAGTGAGGATTAAGCACTGTTCCATAAAACTTTTATTTCAGTTTTACGTATGTGTTGGATCATAATGTAAAATACATTTACTATGTGGTCAAAAATTTTGGAAGTCATTGCAATAGAATATCTAATTCTTTGAGTGGATTTTAATATTTATTCTTATTTTAATATTATGATTATTAAATATTTAATAGTTAATACTAAAATAATCAATATTAATAAAATAACTATGGTTAAAATTATGATGTAATTTTTACGACTCACTTTAAGCTAATAAAAATCTCTGCATTAAGTAGTACTAAATGCCTCCATTTAAGCCATTTTCCCCCTTCAAAAACAAATATATTCTGAATGTCATATATAATATGTGAAAAGGCTTTAAAATATCACATTCCTGTTGAGCTTACATATGCAATAGCTAGACAAGCTTTTTAAAAGAATACTGAATTCTAGAATTCTGATCATTAACACACATTAAAAATATCAAACATTCTCTGTGAAAACACAGTGACCTCTAGTGGCTTCATGAAATACTGACATCTTTGCCAGTAAGAATTGAGAAATTAAGGTAACACTGAAGCATCCAGATATAAAAGGTACTGTTATGGTTATACACTGACAAGAATTATACATAAACAAGGGCTACAGTAACACTATGTACAATGTGACCATTGTATATGATTACTGATTACTCACTGATTACTTCTAATCAAGTGGAATATGATTCAAGAATCCTGGCCTGATTTGGAATCTATCACTAGCTTAAGAAATACACTTCCTCTTTCTGAATTTGATAAAGGGGTTGGATTAAAAGATCTCCAAGGACCCTTTCAGCTCTTTAATTATGATCCTTTCTTCTTTAATTCATTTTATAGATGAAATGTTAGATTAAATTCTGTTCAAAAACATCTGATGACTCCCTAGGATTTGATGATATACCAAATTTAACATGGCCCTTTGTTACCAATTCTACTTCCAACACTCCAACCCATTCCTACAAGTTTTTCTCATCTGTGCTTATAGTTTCTCATTATACAATGTTTTATTTTCACTAACTTACATTACAGATCCTCATTAGAATAAGTACAAATTCTTTTCCCTCATGTGTATTTGTTTTGCCATCCCATTGAGATTTAAATTTAAACTTACAGGTTGGGCTTTATGCTGTGTGCAGCCTGCCAGGTACTAAGCACATACTACATACACACTTTGAATGAAAATTAAATTGATTAGTTTAGGGAAACCAAGGCCATTTTCATCTTTCTTTTTTAGTGAGGAAGGGAAGGGCATATACATAAGGTAGAATTTCAAGAACCACAAATATAAAGTGACAGAGCTTCATGTATTTGGGGAAAAAATGGGCATTTTGAACATAGGATGGTAAGATTTTAGGAAAAGGTTAGAGGGAAGGACTGTTTTAAATTAGCTAAAGAAAGTACCAATAACTATATTTGAAAAAAACAGAGAGGACAGGAAAGGTAGTTTGGTAAATGGTTTTGAAGCAGTTGAAGCAGATCCAAGGGTTGGCTAAATGAGAGGACTAAATTTAAGAAGTAGAGAAGATACCATTGGAAGCAAAGTTAAGAATAACTTAGAGGAACACTGGTTTTAATGTAGGAAATGGAATATGCTGCTGACATAAGGCTAAGGAGCTGATGGGCAGCTCTGGTGAAATATTAAGAAAAGAGAAAAAAAGTGATAGTTTAAAAGGTGCTCTCAGCTTCTCAGTCAACTTGGACAATCCTATTAATACAATCTTTTATCCTCCAAACAAGAAAGTCAGGCTGGTAGAGAAACGATGAACAATTTAGTCTTCATGATGTTTAATTCAAATAACAAAATCCATAGGGTGGTGTGTTTTACATATTCTAAACCACACAGGATTTGGACCATCAGGCAAAGGTGTCTGCCAATAAAGATACTGTCATCAATCAGTACAATTGATGCTAGTTGAACCTATGGGAGTGTCATATTACCCTGTGCCTCTAATAAGACTAAGGGTTTTGTTTTGTTTTGTTTAGACAAAAATCTTTAGTAAACTTGCATCTCATCACATTCATGTCACTGACTGTATTTAGCATAGATCCTAAGTATTTTACTACAAATAACACTGCCTTGTGTTGTTATCATACTATCAAACATGAATTACTTGGGACATTAGCTCACTAATTTAAGTTTTTGGAATTTCTAGACAATGTAGTTTAATTATATAACAATAACTTTTGTTACCTTTTTTATATTATTATGACACTTGCCCCGCAATAATACATTTCCCCTCAAATTCAGCAATTACTAAAATGTTGTGTTTAAACATTTCCCAAGTGGCAAAATCCCAGGACTGTTCTTAAACGTTTTTTTTTTTGCTAAAAATGACTCTCAACTGGGATTCTTTAAATTATAAAATTATACTGATTTTTAATAAAGATTGAATGAATTAGTAACCTGAACTTATTAACCTTAGTACACAGTTTCCTAATGACAAAATGAGTTCAGTTGGATCCCAAGATCCAGTCCAGTGTCTTTTGCAAAAATTTAACATTCTTAATCCAGGACTATTATATTAATACAATTAAAAGAAATAACTGGCATAGGAGGAAATAAAGTTCAAGTTTTATGATTAAAGCTAAAACAACACACAAATAACACTTGTATGCATTAATTTTCTGATTTTAAGTGTAAAATCCTTAATAGCTATGCTTAAAATATAACAATTTTCCCACAATTAAAATGGATACTATGATAACATTCCAAAGAAAACTAGACCTATTCTCTGCATATCTCAAAAAGAAGAAATTTTTAGAACACATGAACAAATGTATACATAATGATTTATATTACCTTTCTTCTTCTCGAACCCATACTGGAGTTGTAGGAATTTGTGCTTCAAAAAACTTAGATGCTTTGTAACAAAAATTGCTGCAAAAACACTGAAAAGAACATTTTAAAACTAGCAAATTATTTATTTCCTTATTGTGAAACGTAATTCAGGTACAGAAGAAGAGTATAAAACATATATATGAAGTTCAAAGAAAAAAATGAAAACTCATGAATCTATCACCCAAGATAAGAAAAAAGGTCTTTGAACGCCTCTATGTGACCCTCCCTGATGGCATCGTTCTCCACATTTCCCAGAGGTAGCTACTATCATAAATTAGGTGTTACTCATTCCCTTGCTTTCCTTTATGTTTTGCTACTTATATACATATCCTTATGAAATCTATCAGTTTTGCCTACCCTTAAAACTTTGCCTAAATGGAATCATATTATATATTCTTGTCTTTTTTTCCATATTGTTTTTGAAATTCATTTATGTAGTTGTAGCTTATTCATTTACACTGTCTATTATATTCCACTGTGTAAGTACACTACCCTTTATTTATTGTTTATGGATAATTAAGTTATCGCTTTTTTTGTTATTGCTACAATGTTACAAGCCTTTTTTTTTTTACAATTTTTAAGATTTAAAAATATTGTGGTACAATACACAAAATTTACCGCCTTAACCATTTTTAACTGCACAGTTCAGTGGCTTAAGTACCTCTCACTGTTGTGCAACCATCACCACCATCCCTCTCCAGAACGCTCTTCACCTTGCAAAACTGAAACTCTACACCCATTAAATAACAACTCATTTCCACCTCTGACAACCACCATTCACTTTCTGTCTCCATGAATTTTAACTACTCTAGTTACCTCATATAAGTGGAATCATATTATTTGTCCTTTTGTGCTGGCTTATTTCATTTAGTATGTCTTTAAATTTCATCCATGCTGTAGTATGTGTCAGAGTTTCTTTCCTTTTAAAGGCTAAATAATATCCCATTCTATGCATATACCATATTTTGTTTATCCAACTAGGAACATTCATAGCAAGAATTTCCTTAGGCTACCAAAGAATAGGAAGGCTTGTTCATAAAGAATGCACAAATTTGACTTTATTAAATAATGCCAGTTTCTCAAAGAAGTTGTACCACTTTTTATTTCACCACAAGTATATAGTTACTAATATTGCCAGATTTTTATAATTTTGCTAATTTGGGGGCTGTGAAAACATAACACAGTGTTTTTATTTGCTATTTTCCTGATTACTGGTAAGATTGAGCACCTTTTCATTTGTTCATTAGTCATTCAAGTTCCCACTATAAAAATTTTCTATTAGGTTGTTTGTTTTTTTCTTATAGATTATATATTTTGGTTATGAATCTGCGGTCAGATATGTGAGAAATATTAACTCCTGATTTGTAGATTATCTCTTCACTCTTGTTTTGGAAACTTATGAGCAAACATTTTAAATTTTAATGTAGAAAAATTTATCAGTTTTTCCCCTACAGTCTATAATTTTTTAACTTATTTCAGAAATTCTCTCTAGTCCAAGTTTATAAAGATATTCTCCCATACTGTCTTTGAAAAGGTTTGTCTTTTACACTTAGGTCCTTAATTAAAATAAAATTGATCTTTAAATGGACACTGAGATAGAGGTCAATTTTCATTTCTTCCACATGAATAATTAATTGTGCCAGTACTATTTATTGAGTAATGCATCCTTTCTCCACTGATCTACAGTACTCCTATTGTCATATACCACATATGTGGTGAGTCTGTGCTTCTCTGTTCTGTTCCATGATTTACTTGCCTGAATTTGTTCCAATATACACTTTTAATTTTCAAATGTTCAAGTATTAATTAAAGCACAAGCAAAGTTTTTTAAACACTTTGTATGAAATATTTATAAATGAAAAACTTTTAATGTGACTATTTTCTAAAAGACAAGATTTTAAAGTTATTTTTAGCATTTCATTTAGCATATATTAAAAATTAACTGCCAGATTGAAAAAAGCCTTTAAACTTACCTTTCTTTCAGTGATATCATAGACTTTATTGGTTTTGGTAGAAATCTTGTATTTCTGTTTTGGTACCTAAAGAAAAGAAAGTAGGCTTACAAAAGAATTCAAGTAATAAAATTGAACTTATGTTACAAAATTAAGTTATCTATATATCATATCTTTGGCTAACCCATGTCATCAGTTCATGACCTCAGTTTCACTTCTTATTCTTTCTACAAAGTATTTTGTTAAATATACACATTAAAAGCCTATACTTAAAAATATTACTTACAATTCCTAGCTTCTTCTGACATATGGGATAACCACAGAGCTTGATAATAGAACGCTCATCCACAACATCGCTGTAGTGAGCAGGCGTGATAAACATCCCCTGTAATGAAATGAAAGGGGCATTACCCCCATATTATTGGAAAAAGCTCATTTATCAGCTCTCTAGGCCCCATACATCTCATCTGAAAACACGTGTATAACAACAGTACCTATCTCATAGGTTTATGTTAGAATCAGAGAAAACAAAAAGAACTTAGAAAAATGCTTGATACTTAGTATTAAAAAAATGTTAGCAATTATTTTAAAAAGAACAAAAAACCAAACAAACTTCTGCCACAGTAGACTATGCATCTTGTACAGTTCACGAAATAATTCTGAGGCAGGAGGAAGAAATGGTGCTTTTCTGATTGCTATACCAAAGCAAAATACTGATAGCATATATTTTTTTTAATTATTATTCAAAAAAACACAAAAAATAATAAGATAGCATTTTACCTATTTTTAAAGCACAGTCTTAAATCACAAAGTACATCAAAGGTGTCATTGTGACTTTTAAAAAAATTTTTGTGTAAAATCTTCTAGCTTCTGAAAAAACTGTACAGGAAAATGGTGAGGTGATAGTTATAAGCTAACACTAAATTTTTCAATTGACATCTTCCTGTTCAAATAATCTCAACTGTTAAGATTTTTGAAGGTTTTCTGTTTTTGCAGGAACTAAAAAACTTTTTATTGACAATGATATAAGGTATTTGTTTCAAATGAAGCATTCCTAGATTGTGTTTATCTTCTTAGAGTCATCATGTAGGCAGATACTGATGCAGTTGCCTATATAAATTTAAATATTGTCATATCTATTATCCTTTTGTTTAGAAAAATCTCTGAGCCACACTAAGAATTATTTTTGCAATAGAAGTTCTGAGTTTTAATTTTCCACTTCTTTTTTCTCTTATAGATTATGATGATATAATAGAACTACCCATTCAAAATTTTAATGTAATAAAGCCGTTAAGGAACAAAAAAATTAATGCAGATTATAATTCTCGTTATATGTTCAATCATAAAAAAAATCTGTATTTCAGGTTTTTAAAATATACAAATTAATGAAATTATATTAAAAAAATAATAATCTTCTGTTACTAAAATAGGACAACATATAGAATATGGAAAATGACACTGGGGTCCTTAGTGCAAATGATGGAAATGAAGTGATATTAGCAGACCGGTTAAAACAATTACAATTAAGGGGTAAAATATGCATGTTATTTTTCATTAGTGCATTTAAAGTCATTATACAAGGAATGCATAATAGATTATTTTAAAATGCATGAATGATATAGCATGTTACCTGCACGTGGTGACTAATTACAGATTAAAAGATTTCAATAATGTAAGTTAGTTTCATGTTGCACAGGTTTAAAGATCTTATACTACAGAAGTAATAATTTGTCAACACATACACACTCCCTTAAGTATTCTTCTGTAATATTCTCTTCTAAAAGCTGTTCAACAATATGTAGAGCTTTTCTCTCAAACTCAGTCTTCTTTCTCACAGTCTCTTCTAGCTCTGCTTTCCTAAAATTAAAAGAGAATTATTTAAAATTTTTAAATTATTCTACTTATAAGTTTTATCATAGCCAATTTTCTGTTTTAAAATACAACACTAACAACTTACTATTTTGCTATTTAAATTTGTGGGGTTTTTGATGCTGTTACTTTTTTTCTTTTCTTTTCTCTTAATGAGGGTGCAGCTCACAGTGGCCCATGCGGAAACTGAACCAGCAACCTTGGTGTTATCAGCGCCACGCTCTAACCAACTGAGCTAACTGGCCACCCCCAATGCTATTACTTTTGATCCAATACTTTTCAAAAAGGAAACAAGCTACTTGTTGCACTGGACACACAGAACATTTGCCATAAAACCTAGATTATTTGATTTCCAGAACTCAGAGCACAAGGAAGAACTTAAGAAATTCCTATAGAAAAGAAAATGAGGTGAAATCTTTTTGCCAATTAGAATTTATATGCTATGACTTCTGTGTGTACCTAAAAAAAGGGAGGCTTTTCTCTGAAATCCTTAGAAATAAGAGATTACAGAGGAAAAATACAACTTTGTTCTTACAAGTAATTTATTTGTTTCAAGTCTCAAATGTTAACAGATTGCTCGGTTTCACAGGACAGTCATATTCACTAAGAAGTGTTTACTTACTTTTGTTGTAAAGTCTTATTAAATAACTATATCGATATGACTGTGTGGTTTAGGAAAACAGCAGTCTTCATAGGGCTGGTCCTTGTCCTGGCACCAATGGGATTCTGTCAGCCTTTGCTTGCTCCACACATTAAAGAACACAAAAACCACAGCCTATCAGATCAAACAATGGCCCTAGGACAGTGGTACTCAATCCTAGCTGCATATTAGAATCATTTGATGAGATTTTTTTAAAAAAGATACTATGCCCAGGTCCCAGTGCAGGCTCATTAAACCAGAATCTCTGAGGATGGGGCCTGGTTACTGGTGTTTTCTTAAAAGTCCTCCAGATAATCTTAGCGTGCAACAGGGCTGAGAATCACTGCCACAGGACCATAGATATCAATTACCTTGGTGATGTAATTGCTCCTTTTCTGTACTGGTTTCTATTGATACTTGCCTACTAGAACAACCTTTGCTAGCCTCTTGGACCTTGACTTCGCAATCATATGTGGACCTAGAAATCACAGTCATATGTGGAACTAGAATGTACTCACCTTTTCTCCCTACCTTCATGACTTCCAAAACCTTAGACTGGAACAATGATTTACAAAAACAATTTGGAGGACTGACACAGGGTTGCCAACTAGAGACAAGTAGGGACACTAAAACAAGAATAAATTTGTAACTAACACCTATTTGCCCATCATTTCATAAAGGCCATGATTATATCAAAGAAGTATAAGACATGAACACACTAAAAGGCAGCTCTTTATATTGACTATATTTAGCTTTATAAAAAACATTATTTTTCTCATTTTGCTTCCTACCAATAAAAGCTATATCATGTACTAAGACAATACACAACCTGCATTAGGAATTGCTGATTTAATAGTTAATAACAGGGCCAGCCGCGTGGCATGTTGGTTAGGAGCTGGCTTGAGACGCCAGCTCTGAGCAGCAGGGCCCTGGTTCGGATCCCACATGAGGGCCAGTGACACTGTGCCCTCTACAGCTAAGCTGGTGAACAACAGCTCTACCTGGAGCTGGGCTGCCGTGAGTCGCCAGTGATGGGGTAGGCTACAGCCCCTGCTGCAGTGGGCTGCCATAAACTACCATGAGTGGCCAACAGCCAGCGTGAGCTGCCAAGAGCCTCCATGAGTGGCCGTCCAGAGGCCAGCGACCAATCAGCCTCAGCAAGGAAGAGCACAATGATAATACCAACATGGGCCAGTGAAGCAACATCCTCCACAACTAGACTGAAGAACAAAAGGACAACGAGTTGTCTGTTCCCCTTCCCGGATTCCCCAGTGCTGTTCCCCTCCCCCAATTCCCAGATAAAATCTTAAAAAAAAAAAAAAAGGTTAATAACAGCCACACTCCTCTTAACTGATGGATACCTACAGCTGCTTCCCGTGGATAGCCCTGTCTCACAGTGGCCCTGTGCCTGAAATAATGACAGGTAGTGTGGTATATACAGCAGCGGTTCTCAAACTTCTTGGTCTCAGCTCTCCTTCATATTTTTAAAATTTGAGCTTTTGTCTATGTACATTATATCTGCCGATATTTACCATGTTAGGGTTAAATGTGACAACATTTTAAAGCATTTATCAATTTATTTCATAATATACCCATTACATGTTAACATATTTTAAATGAAAAATTTAGTGTGAAGAGTGGAATTGTTTTATAGTCTTGCAAAGTTCTTTAATTTCTCTTTTAAAACTATTTACTTGGATTGAATTTAGAAGTATTTTGCAATTGTAATAAATTTATAAAGGATCACTCCCCTCAACAACTATTTGGTTACCCCCATGGACTTTTAACTGTTTCATCATCTTGGATGATCTGCTCAAAATAAAATATAATCTCCTCAGGTTTGTGGTCAAATCAGTGTTGAAGAGAGTTGCAAATTACCATCATTATCAATATTAAGTAACCTTTACTCTTGCAGTATTTCCTAAAGCCAAGTCAGTATAATCATTCTGCTCCACAGGGAAATAGTACAGGCATACCTTGTTTTATTGTGCTTCACCTTATTGCAATTCACAGATGTTGCATTTTTTACAAATTGAAGGCAAGACCCTCTACCAGCAAAAAGATTACAACTCACTTTATTGTGGTGGTCTGGAACTGAACCCACAATACCTCCCAGGTATGCCTGTACTCTCCAAAACAGATCTCAAATCCATCCAATTTCTTGATTCCCAGAAGATCACCATCCATAATATCTTAACATTCTGAAACTTAAATTCCATCACTTTATTAAGTTTTTCCATTTGCACTTAGAAAATCTAAATTTCTCACCATAGCCTACCAGGTACTGTATGAATGGAATCCTGTCTCTCTAACCTTTTCCTATGCTCCTTTCTTCCCTTGCTCAGAATGCTGGCACATCACCCTGGGCATCTCTCCTTTCTCTAAATGACCAAACCTTTCTTGTCACACACACTGCCATTTTTGGCTGGAAGTCTCTCCTCACTACTCTTGTCTGGTTAATATCTACTTAGCCTTCAGGTCTCAGCTTAATTATTATTATTTTTTTAAAGATTTTATTGGGGAATTGGGGGAGGGGAACAGAAAGTTTTTGTTCTTCAGTCTAGCTGTGGAGGATATCGCTTCACTGGCCCTTGTTGGTATTATCATTGCATTCTTCCCGGATGAGCAGTAGCTCGCCAGCCACTGGACGGCCACCCACGGCAGCTCACAAAAGTGCATGCCCGCTGCCAGCCAGCCCCACTGCAGCCTACACCGTCGCTAGCGACTCACGGCAGTCCAGCTCCAGGTCAGCTGCTGTTTACCATCTTAACTGCAGAGGGCGCAGCGTCACTGGCCCTCATGTGGGATCCGAACCGGAGTCCTGCTGCTCAGAGCTGGCGTCTCAAGCCAACTCTTAACCAACGCGCCACTCGGCTGGCCCTCAGCTTAATTATTACTTTCTGAAAAGTCCTTCCCTGAAAACCCACGTCCTCCCTACCAAACTCCAGCTAAACTGGACTCCAGTTATTAGTTCCTCCTACTTTATAACACTTACCACAATTTGTAGTTATGTATTTATTTTTGATAATTTAACTGGTATTTCTCAGTTCCACTAGACAAATTGTGTCTATTCTGTTCAAAACCATATCCTCAGGGCCTAACACAAGTCTGGCATATCTTACACTCAGAAAATACTTTTTGAAAGAATAAATTAAGGCCAAAGCCAATACTTCATAACATGATGGATCATAGATACGTATTTTTTAATCATACTCATGGACTACTCCTACTCTAGAAACTTCTTGCGACAGAAGATAAACCTTGCCTTTTTTAGGAGAAGCCAAGAGACAGCACAGGGCAACTTTTTGTTGAAAATATAGACATGATGTAAACAAGGAACAGAAAAAGGCTTTTTGGAGTCTCTGGCATATAAAACATAAAAAGGAGAAAGAGGGTATATACAAAGAGGTGGAAAAGGAGTACTTGGTTAATTCAGGAATGTTTATTCCCATATACATCCTTCTAAAGATACTCATACCTTCACCAGCAACCTAAAAGTGTCTGATTTGATTTTCTGAAAGCATGGAGTAGGGGAATGTAACAGTCTATGTGAGAATTTATAGTGCTTCCCAGATATTCCCGTCTCATAAGAATTTTCTTTAAAGTAGCACCCATTATTGTTTCCAAAAATGGTTCAATTAACATGACATAAACAGCTAAGTGAATGCAGTTGAACAAGTAGTACTCATACCTTTTAGAAGCATCTTGTTTCAAGGCACTTCTCTGTTTAATACCTAAAATTTAAAAAAAAAAAAAGTTGGTCAAGTCTACACACACTAGGTTATAGGACAGATTCCTGCCCAAATAAACTGTATACCGTCTTTTTTTCTTTTCCACATAGTATTTAAAATGAAATAGGAGAGACAGTAAAAAAAATTAAAAAAAAATGAAATGGGACGGGAATCCAATTTGTTTTTGTAAATTAATTATTCCCGAATTTTTCCTGTTTAACATGTATCTCCTTCGGGATTGAATTTTCTCCTGTATCCTAGATGCATACTTAAGTACTCCCGAAAATCTGAGATCTGGGTACTTTAAGGGGTAGCCTCTCTCCGGCCCTCAAATGTTCACTCCCTGGCAAGAGTGGAGGAGGTTCTCCAATACCTCAGAGAACAGGGGCACCAAAGCAGCAGTACAAACGGAAAGACCAATGCTAGGTTCACCGGCAGCCGCACACGGCCGGCCGACGCCGTCCTGGTCACTTGTCTACTCTGGCAGCTTCAGCTCTAGGCTCCCAGGGCCTCTACTGTCCTTTCCCTCAGAGGCCATCTGGGGGAGAATCTTGGAACGCTAGAGTTGGGGGTCCGGCCGAAGGTCTCTCGCAGAGGGCGCGAGGACCGCGGTGGGAAGCTCAGGGCCTTCTCCGCCCCCGAAGATCTCCTACCCCAGGGAAGCTTTTCGGGAGCGCCCCGCGCGCCTTAATCTGGAACCCTGTAGGGGCTCAGTTCTCAGGGTCCAAACGCGGGAAGAGGCTCTTCTGCTTACCTGAGGCGTTTCGGGGGGCTCGGGGGGCCCCGGCCTTGCGGCGGGCGGAGGGCTGCCAGACCGACTCAGCCATGGAGAGCGTCGTCAGACCGTCGAGCGCGACTCTAGCGTCTCTCTCCGAGGCTCCGCCTCCCCTGGCGCAGCGCGGGGCGGAGCCGACCAGAGTGGGGCGGGGCTCGGAGCGGCCTACGCGGCCAGAGGTGGTGGAGGAGGACGCTGAGACCGGCAAGAGGCCTGGCGGGTAAGTGGACGCAGCGGCAGGTCCCAGGCGGCGGGGGCTCGCTGCCGGCTTTGAGCCGCGGAGGATGCGGCGCCGCAGGCCAATTAGGCCCGGCGAAGTGGTGGGGCCCGAACGCCACGGCTAGCAGGAATCGGGAGAAATGGCTTCCCTTGGATGCCGCCCGCACGCGCGCTGGGGTTTTGTCCGCCCTGGAGTGCGCTGCAGTGAGGACCCGCTGACCCGCGCCCTTACAGCGGAGCTGGTGCCGGGCCTTCAAGCTGGGGGAAACGATGCCCTGCGGGGATGGAACGGCATTCTCCTGAACGCCGCCGGTTGATCTCACTGACTGGATTGATTTTGGGTACCTCATCTCTTACGGGAAATGCCCTGGTCTCACTGGGGCTGGAGGGCATCTGAACTTTCACCCATTCTGGGTGAGTTGTGTTGACTTCAATTTTTGTCAAGTAGGACATTAAAAAATACAAAATCTGTTGATTATAACTGATTTTAGGCCCACCTTTTGGAAATGTTTTCAGAAATGAAACCCTTTGCCTTTTCAATGCACTTTATGTAGTCCATATTTGCGATCCTCATGGGAGTGCTCTTGAGGTTTTTATTTCCAGGTGTATCTTTCAGTATTACACTAAGCAAAACTATGCTTAAGAAAACTTTAAAAGATGCAACAGGTTTTTTAAAGTAGACTTTTATTTTCTTAGGTTAACATACTACTGTCAGTAAAAATATTTCAGCTTTAAAACTACATTTTCTTTATTGTATTTAATAATTTGTCAGAATAAAAGATCACTTATTAATACTTCAATGTAATATCTCTGATAGTTAACTGTGTTTTATATTAGTACATTTCAGTCTCAAAACTAGGAAAAACAAGGAGGCATGGCTGTGGAGGAACTTCAATCCGTAATAAACAGATGTGTAAGTCATTTTTCTTTTTGTAAAGTTACATATCTCTCAAAGTATGAGAAAGGCATAGATGTTTTTCTTAAGTTTTCCTGTTATCTTATTATTGATTATTTTATTTTTTATTATTAGTTTCAGGTGTACAAAATAATGCAATAGTTATACTTTTCATGCCTCACAAAGTGACTACCCTCCACCCCCATTAACTGCCCCCCCATATCATACATATCTATTACAATTCCCTTGACTCCACTCCTACACTATACTCCACATCCCGTGACCATATATATATTAAATTATAGTTGACATACAATATTATTCAATGTCAGCTTCAGGTGTACAGTGCAGTGGTCAAGCCTCTACACCGTCCATGAAGTGGTCTCCCTAACAAGACATGAGTCCATCTGACCCCCCTAAAAAATATTTACAACATTATTGATTATATTCCCCAAACTGTCTTTCATATCTCTATGGCAATATTGCAGTTACCAATTTATGTTGTCTCGTCCCTTCCCGGGCATAGATGCTTTTTAATTATATTTGTGGTCACTCAAATTGTTTATCTTCTTTAATCCTTGCTTTTTTTTACCTATGTATAAATACTAATAGGGCAGGAAGGCAACTGGATTATTTCTCCAAATGACATATTTTTCTAAATAGCCTTTAAAATTTTTAATCCTGATCCTTATTAAAGGTTTCTTTGACATAGTGGATTTCAAGATGATTCATTCAAGTATTTATTAGGCTGATCCTAATTTTCATACATATGTTTATGTGTAACTTACAGTTTAAACAGATTTCCATTTTTTCAGAGAGAGAAAATAAATCAAGTCGTTATTGAATTTTTTTTTTGCCTAAACATGTTTGGCTTTTGTTTGGTTTTTGTCAGCAAATTCTAGAAGAGCAAGACTTCAAAGAAGAGGATTTTGGTCTATTTCAGGTAGCAGGCCAAAGATGCATAGATGAAGGACACATAGACCAGCTACTAGAAATTATTCAAAATGAAAAGAATAAGGTAAGTATAATCTTTGTGCAGACTTTTCAGTCTTTACCTAGGAGAGAATGTCCACATGATGTTATTCATCAAACATGTAAGAATCAACTCACTTAAATTTCCACAGGAGAAAACGGGAAACAAAAAAAGAATTAGGACTATATACTGTAAGGTACTCTCATAATCTGGTGGAAGAGATAAACATGTAAACAACTAGCAATAAGGAGGCAGAATAAGTAAAATAAGTGCTATAGTTGAAGAATAAGTAAAGTGCTTTAGGAGAGCAGGGGTCACATCTGGTTAAGGCATCACAAGAAGCATTTGGATCACTAATTTACCTTGAGAAATATAAGTATCAGGCAGACTACATTAACTTTTGGTGCTCACACATTCTGTTCCTTTAGCCAGATGCATATCGAAACCAAATGTTAAATAAGATAATATTTTGGGTATATACTATATTTCCCCATGTATAAGACGCACCTTAATTTTGGGGCCCGAAGTTTGAAAAAAAAATGTATTACATAAAGTTATTGAACTCAAGTTTTATTCTTCATAAAATTCATACAACTCCTCATCACTGTCTAAACTCCCAACCATTAGCTTGTTCTCATCTGTGTCTGATGACAAATCACTGTCTTCATGTATTGCCTCGTCCTCAGTTCCATCTGTAGCATTTGAAATCTACAACCACTGTATAAGATGCACCCAGTTTTTCGAAAAAGGGTGCGGTAATATTTTGGATACATAAAATCAGAACGGGAAAGCTGGATGACTTGGCCAATATGATCCGGCTACGATTGTCTGAGAAATCATTCTCCACAATGGGAAAGGATCTTTTGGGGATCAGAAACAGTTATTTCTCAGACATGGTGTTGGCAACACTACCAAATTTTGTGTCTTTCAACTCCACTTCTTGCACAAGGGAAGAGCATCTTCTTTTACAGGAACACACTCTTCATTTATAGGTGCTGTTTATTTCTGCAGAAGTTTTCTTTCTTGCTATCACAATCTAGACATTCTGGTCTGTGATAATATGCAGGATACCTTTATTGTGTTTGGGAGATTCCTAAAACTTTTAAATTACACATTGTTGCAGAATCTCTTAGTAGTTTAAAGGGCTTATTCCTTTTTTATTTAAGAAAAATTTTTTAGAAAAATTAGGACATTAATACATTTGTTCTTGATGTGTTTATTGTAACTTTGTAGCCCAAAATAAAATAAATGTAATGTTTTCTTTAACTTCTTGATTTTTTTCCCAATGGCATTCTCAGAGGATAAAGCTTTCAAAGTACCTTACTATAAAATTAATAATAGCTAATATTTATTGAGTATTTACTATGTGTCAGATACTGTCTTAAGTGCTTTACACCTGTTAACTTACGTAGCCTCTTCAGAATTCCATGATGTACTACAGTTACATTCATTTTGTAGGTAAGGAAACAGGCACTGAAAGATAAGTGACTTGCCCAAAGTAACAGATTTTATGTGACATCCAGGATTCAGACCTGTGTAGCTGGGTTTCAGCGCTTTTATCCACTCTGCTCTGCCTCCAGTGAGCACCATGTAGCACTTGCAAGGAAGTTTTAGAAGAGGGGACTCATTGATTGTGGGGGTGAGAGAGAGTGAGGCATCAAAGATGGCTGGGTTTCTAGCCTCTGAGAGGATAACATCCCAAACAGAAAAATTTTACCTAAGAAGAGACGTTTCCTAAAGGAGAACAAATAAGTTTACTTCGGAAATGGTGATTTTAAGATGCAGCAGGCAATTCAAGTAGTTTGGAGCTCAGTAGAGAACTAGGAGATTAAGATGTAGATTTGTGCATGACTATTAGAGATTACGTGATTGTGGTAGATTTAAGCATAGTGAGGCTTAGTCTTAATAGCTTGAGAGTCACCTTTGTAATGTGTGGTCTGCTAAATTCAGAGGTTCAGATATTGATAAGACTGTCTAAAAACTGACTGCAACTTATTTTTTTGCCAGGTTACATGATCAAGATTGATCAAAATTTACTATTAATCTACTTTATGTAAATTTTTTTTTTTTTTTAAGAAAGCCATATGAGTAGTTTGTCCTAAGACACTTATAGTACAGGGTTTCTCAACACTGGCACTACAGTAAGTTCCCTACCTACGAACATTCCAGTTGCGAACTTTCAGATATGAACAGACCTCGCAATACAAACGTTCGTAGATGCGAACAAATCGCGGAAGTAGCTCATGTGTCTGCCAGACATTGTCACCGTTGTGCTGCTGTGTGCTTATTGTACAGTGCGATAGTATACAGTAGTACAGTGCTCAATCAGAGCCCAGGATGTCCGGAGGCAAGAGGAAAAGCAGTGGTGATGTGGAGGGGCTGCTAGGAAGTGTACATAAGACTCACTTTGTCGGACTTATGAATGAATCCAATTTATGAACTTTTTCCCAGAACGGAACTCGTTCGTAAGTTGGGGACTAACTGTATTTGATATTTTATAGCAATCCTCCCCCCTAGTAATGACAATCAAAAATGTCTCCAGACATTGCCAAATATTTCCTGGTAGGTAGGGAACAAAATTGTCCCTATTGAAAGCCGTTGGTATAGCGAGGAAAACGTGGGCTTTGGAGCTGGAGAGACTTATATGCAAATCCTGGCTGTGCCACATTTTAGTTGTTGGACATTGGGCATGTCAGTAAGCTCTAAACTTGGGCATTCTCATCTGTTAATTGGGGATGATAATCTTACCCTGTAAGGTAGTTAATATTAAACTAAACAATGTAGCTGTTTATGGATAGTCAATATTTATTCGCCTTCCTCATTATATAAATTCACTATTTATATGACTGGATTCTTTTCAGCTGAGATTACATTTGTAAAATATTTTACCAAAATTCTTTTTCAGCTTAGATATGCAAAATCTTATTCAAATCTGGAATTTCTCTTATAGTTAATTATTCTCAGAGAATCACTTATAGGGTCAAAAGGGAAAGAATTGCTTAGTTGGTAGAGTCTCATAGGAATTAGTTTTTAAAAGCGAGTATAGGTTTATTTAATAAGTAATGGTGGAATATTTAGTGTAATAATTTGAAAAAAAATGAACCACATAATGTAAGTTCCTGATTAGTAAAGACCTAAATATTAAAATCCAAGCCACACACAAAAATAGAATAAAACAGAACAGAACATTAAATCTTTGGAGGAAGGATAATTTGCTATGCTTAAAAGTAATAGACTTCATTTAACCTGTATTTGTGGAACACCTATTTAGATGCTGGGAATAGATACAGCAGTGAACAAAAATCACTGCGCATATGGATCTTAAATGTTAAGGAAGACAGATATATGCATGATAAATAAATTACATAGTATGTTAGAAAGCGATAAATACCATAGAGAAAAATAAAGCATAGTTGGGGGTTGGACTGTGTTGGGTGAAATTGCACAGAAGTTTGAAGGAAGCAGGAGTATAAACTATGGGACTATCTGGGAGAAGAGTGCCAGGCAGAAGAAATAACTAGTGCATAAAGAATGTTCAGAGGTCCCATTAGGTAAAAAGCACGATTGTTTTGCTCTTTGTTTTTTTTAAATCAATTTAAGTCTTCATTTTATGCCACGTTTCCAATGTAAATCTTATTGAATAAAAAGCATGGTGAAATACCTTTTTGAAAAAATTTAAATAATGTTTATAAATCTAAATGGGGAAAATCTATTTTAGACAAAAGCAGTAGAAAAGGGACAAAATAAAAAATCAGTATATTTTGCTATGTAAAATATAAGGACAACCAAAAAACCAAATAATTATTTGTCATAAACACACCTAAATAAATATTAACATATAGGGAGCTCATGCAGATTAATAAGACTAACACTAAACTATCCAGTTAATAAAAGAGCAAAGATGTAAACAAATAGTATTTCCTTTTTTGTAAACCATGTGTTCACGTACCCTAACATACTCTGTTGCTAGTTCTTTAGGACATGTTAAGTCTTACAGTTTTACACATTGCCGTTACAGAGCCTTGAATGTATTTTCCTCCTATCTATGACAAACAAACTTGTCTATTTCTCTAAGAAGCCTTAGCTTAGCCATTGCCTCTTCTGGGAAATCTCTCTTGCCTTCCCCAGATGGAAGTGACTATTCTGCTATACCTTATACTCTACCTTTATTATCTAAGACTGGGGTCATGGAGTGGGTATTGTACCTATTTAACTTCTTCCTAGATGTTTTTTTTTTAAACAAATGAACCTCAGATGTAAATGATGAGGATAGAGATCTTGACTGATGTGTTCCTTGCTTTATTTCTAGCCCCTAGAATATTCTAGGGACCTGATATAGTTTATGCTTGATAAATATTGATGAGTTGAAGTAGAATACAGGCCAGAGAAGTGGAGTATATTGTTGATAGTTTTGAAAATCAGTGGTTTCGTTAATGAATGTGAATCACTAATTATAAACTTTTACTTGTGTGGTAAGCATTCTGAAATATCTTTGAACATAGAAGTAACTTGTATGTAGGAGAGAAAATTAATGAAATGGCACCCTCTCCTTTTACATAAGTTACATGATTATAGTATATTTAGAGATTCTCCAAGGAACTTTTAAAAGGTTCATGAGCATTGGCTGGATTTTTTTATGAGTCAGAGGAACAAAATTCTCCATGAAAATTAACTACTTGTTCATAGTAAGCAAATTCATTTTCTTGTTGGAAATAGAAGAACTGTTTAAGTCCCGGGAAAGACCAGCTTACGTGATTAAAAGTGAAGGTCCATTTGCCTTTCCTCAGTGAAAATATTAAAAACGATTTTAAAATGTTGCTATCTGTTAGCAGCCAACCTTGAGAAGTCAGTGGTGAGATATTGTTGGACTTGCCTCATCTTTCCTGTTTAGAGGAAATTCTAAGCTCCTCCAAGTTAAGAAAGCTCACTGTGAGAGTCCCATAGATGGCAGTATTTACTTTACTCTGAAAATGTTATTCAGGTCATCATCAAGCACATGGGCTGGAATCTTGTTGGTCCTGTTGTTCGATGCCTTTTATGGAATAATAAGGAAGATGATAAAAGAAAATATTTTCTGATGCTTGATTTATTGATAAAGGTAAGTTAACAAAACTTCTATTACAACACACAGTAGTATTTTATAATTTCGTTTAATGTTTAATGCTTGTTTTTGGTGAGAAAGCTTCTAGTTCATGAAAATACAGGAGGGAACTCTTTGAAGAAAAGGCCTAACCTTATTGATTGGATGGGCAAGTCCATTTTAGTTTCCCCGAATTTTCTGGGTAAAGAACTGTCTAACCTCATCTCAGACCCACTAATTCAGAAACTCTAAGGAGAGACTGAAAAAGCTCTATTTTTAATAAGTAGCTTATTGTATAGATGTGGAATTCAAGGTTTAGAGAGGTAGTTCAAAGCCATACTGATCTTTTGGCAACGTTAGAACTAGAATCAATCTCAGTGTTCTTTCCTCTGTGGTATGTTCCCTATAAGAATATGAGAAACCTAGAGTGCAAGTGATCACAGTGAAAATAGGAATAGGAAGTAGATTAGCTGTGATCAACAACTTTAGAAAGGGACTCTTGGTAAAAGGTTAATAGAGTTATAAGTAAAAAATGATGATTAACAAAGATAAATTCTGGGCCTGCCGATTGGCTCAGTTGGTTAAGAGTGTGAGCTCTGAGCAAGAGGGTCGCTGGCTCGATTCCCACATGGGCCAGTGTGCTGTGCCTGAGCTGAGCTGCCAATAGGTGGCAGGATGACTCAGCTGGTGAGAGCACGTGTTCCTAACAACGAGGTTGCCGGTTTCACTCCCTCATGGGATGGTAAGCTACACCCACCCGCAACTAAGATTGAACACGGCACCTTGAGCTGAGCTGACCCGAGCTGTGAAGGGCAGCTGGATGGCTCATGGTTAGAGCGTACGCTCTTAGCAGCAAGGTTTCCAGTTCCACTCCCTTATAACTAAGATTGAACACAGTACCTTGAGCTGAGCAGCGGCGAGCTGCCGCCGGGTGGCCGGATGGTGACTGGGCTTGGAGCTGAGCTAGCTGCGCCCTCTACAACTAAGATTGAAGGACAACAACTTGGCTGCTCCCCAACACTGTTCCTCTCTCTTCTCCATTCCCCAATAAAATCTTTAAAAAAAAAAAAAAGAAAGATAAATTCTGAAAAAAAATTACATTACAAGAAGCTACTTAGAGATTAGTGCAAATAGACACAAGTACATACTTGGAAAGAGGCAGTTCCATCGACATGTTATTAACTATGAGGGCTTTTTAAAAAATCAGGTAAGTGAGGTGATAACATGGCCATTCAGAAGGCAGTGCAAAGTTGTACCTGTTCAGGAAGGGCAAGAGACTGCACTCATCTCAACACCCTGACAATGTGAAAGAAGGTCCACATGCTGGAAGCTCTGGAAAACCAGGCAGCCTTCAGAATAGACAGGCAACACTCAGAGGAAACCTCAGCTCTGGTGATCAGGCTGTCTTTTCCCATCTCTCTAACTTTTTCTTTAGCCAGGAATTTAAACCTCCAAAATGTAGTTGTCCATTACAGACCTTTTGACTTTTGACTTCTTGCTTCTTTTTAGTTTTACAGTGATTTGACAATCACAGATTCTGTTTTGCTGTTGTATTTTTTTTTAACAATTGTATGAGGTGTTTTACTGTTAAGCAAAAAATAATTATATTTTCTCAGTATATGCCTTCTTTTAAAAATAGTAATCATGTGGCTTTAAATACAACTTGTATTAAACAGGTTCAATTGTGAATATTTTTATAGTTATGTAATCCAAAGGAATTATTGTTGGGTTTGCTTGAACTGATTGAAGAGCCCTCTGGAAAACAGATATCCCAAATTATTCTTCTTTTACTTCAGCCATTACAAACAGGTAATGAGTACGTTGATATCTAAATGTTTTTTTATTTTATCTGTATAAGTGCTTTGATATTACTCCAAAATGTCAACACTATACTAAAGTAAAGTTTATGACTGATTATTGAGTACTCTGCTTAAACTGGTAATAATAGTGCCAATTTGAATCCTGCTGTTCATAGAAAGATGACAATACCTGACTCAGTGGGTACCCAATAAATATTTTAGATTGTCATTCTGTTTTTTGTGTGCTATGTTGTAACCTATAGCTTTTTGTCTAACCTTCCTATCTGCAACTTATATCTAGAATTTTCCTTATAAACATTTTTAAAAGGGTAGTGTGGTATCTGCAGTACTCAGTACTCAGTCTGATAGCATTGTGGTAGTCCTGTATCTTGGTTAAAAGCAGTATCAGGCAGGGCATGGTGCATCCTCGGCCTTGGGAGGGTTGAGAATAGCGAAAGTACTACTGAAGAATAAAACAAGTGTGGAAAGAATAGGCTCCATGGCTGAGTGCCGTAACAGTATTGGTAAGTAATGGACCTTAGCAACCAAGGAAGAGACTACTTTTTAATTTAGGACCTACATATAATCCAGGGTCTGCTAGAAGGGCCCAAAATCAGAAATCAAAATAAATTTGTTTTAAATGTGAATGCTCAGCAGCTTTGTACCTTGTGAAATATTCAGTTTTCTAGAAAGAAAAGTCTAATAATATTAACTCCCATTTTTTACAGTGCCTTATAGTTTACAAAACATTTATTTTATACTTATGGCAACCAAAAAATATGGAAAAAAGTGTAAGTGTGCAACCTGTTGTAAACATACCTAAATAAGATTTCATGGCATATTTTGTCAAGTGCCATGGCTGTAAGATGCTTCATTATTTACCTCTAAGAATGAAAAAAACACTGCCAATTAAGCTATGATATGTCATCCTTTTTTCACAGTTCTTAAAATTAAAAAAAAAAAGTGTTATAATTCTGCATTGACTGGACTTCTTGTCCCATGTTTAGTGTGCTTGATGAGGCTACTTCAAGTGACAACTTGGTCTCTATTTTAGTGATACAGAAACTTCATAGCAACAAGGCATATTCAGTTGGATTAGCATTGTCCACCGTTTGGAGTCAGCTGTGTCTCCTTCCTGTTCCATACTCAGAAGAACAAATACAAACAGATAACTACGGACTTTGTCAGTGTTGCATGGCCTTAATAGAGTTCACTAAGCCTTTTGTGGAAGAAGTCATTGGTGACAAAGAAAACTCACTGGAAAATGAAAAGTTAAAGGATGAATTACTTAAATTGTAAGTATATTTTTAAGAACATTTCACAACGGACATACGGACCTAAATAATTGTAGTTCAACTATTTTATGTTTCTTTTCTTTTTTTTTTTTTTTAAAGATTTTATTGGGGAATTGGGGAAGGGGAACAGCCAAGTTGTTATCCTTCAATCTTAGTTGTGGAGGGCGCAGCTAGCTCAGCTCCAAGTCCAGTCACCATCCGGCTGCCTGTCTGCAGCTTGTGGCCGCTCAGCTCAAGGTACACCGTGTTCAATCTTAGTTGTGGGGGAAGGGGCGCAGCCCACCATCCCATGTGGGAGTCGAACCGGCAACCTTGTTAGAAGCACGTGCTCTCACCAGCTGAGTCATCATGCCACCTGTTGGCAGCTCAGCGGTAGCTTAGCTTGGGTGCAGCTCACTGGCCCATGTGGGAATTGAACCAGCAACCCTGTTACTCAAAGCTCGTGCCCTTAAGCAACTGAGCCACTTGGTCGGCCCATGTTTCTTTGTTTTATTTGTTTGCAATGGCAATATAAATCTAGTTTCAAATTTTGATTTTAAAAGAATATAGGGTTCAGTTGATGTAACATGAGCATTTAATGAGGCAATGATATTTATTAAAATTGAAAACAAAAATCCATTTGTTTAATTTATATCCTTTTATGAATTGCCTTTAGTCATCATAGTAAGTGAATAAAAGTGGGGGAAATAGATGGGTGAACTCAAAGCATTTGGTCTTGCTGTGGGAGAATTGTGTTTTTACTCTCCCTTTGAAAGTGAAAACAGAAGAAACACAGAACAGAATTGAACATCCAACTTGACTGCAAAAACAATAGCCAAGTACCCAGTAGCATTCACTCCAGGGGTACTATAGATGGATTATGTACTGTTCAGTGTGACTTTTAAACACTTGTCATATGGCTAGTCCAAATTAAAATGTGCTCTAAGTGTAAACTACATTTGGATTTTGAAGACTTGTTCTTAAAAAAATACTAAAATACCTCAATAATTTTTTACACTGATAACATGTTGAAATGGTAATATTTTAGATATATTGGGTTAATAAATTACTAAAATTAATTTCTCTTGTTTTTTACTACTTTCTTAATGTGACTTCCAAATTTTTAATAGTATATGGAGCTTGTACTATACTTATATTGGACAGTGCTCGACTAGATTATTGAATAACATTGACCAATAATTGTATTTTTTAAATTTTGGATACTAAAACTACTGTTAGCTTTCCACTCTGTCAGGTTAGGACATTAATTTTTTTTTACTAGTTCTAAAACCCATTATTTCATGAAAGAAAAGATATTTTAACTGGAGAAATAAGAAAAGCTTCATCATAGAATAAAATTTGGTTTTCTAAATAAAGCAAATACAACTTTATGAAAAAATTACTACATTGTCCCATTTTTTTCTTGAACTAATGAAAACTACATTGTGGACTAGCACTGGTCCTCAGACAAACATTCAGTATCCATTGGTATAGTCCAGACATGAAGGTGAATCTCACCGCATCGAGTCTAGCAACGTGTTCTCATGTTCTCCCCGTTACTAGTAAGAAGGATTAGACATCTCCAGTTGACAAGCCATTTTTTTTTGGTGCTATGTTATTTTTCATGTAAAATTAACTTAAATATAGTTCTAGAACTAGGTATTTTATATTTGGGAAGTGCTGTATTCATAGTTACCCATTTCTTATACCTTAGTTGTTTCAAAAGCTTGAAATGCCCTTTGCTGACAGCACAATTCCTTGAACAGTCTGAAGAAGCTGGAAATGATCCTTTAAGGTGTTTTGCTTCTGAAATAATAGTAAGTACAGCTAATTTAATCTGATATAAAATCTGCTATAATCTAAAATGTTATCCTCCTGTTTAATCTAAAATGTTATCCTCCTGTTTTCTCATGCACTGCACCTGAGCATGTAAATTGATACATTCATTAATAAAGCAATATGTATTTTTTGTAGAACACAGATAAACAAAAAGAAAATAAACAGCAATAATTTCATTACCCAAATATAAATATTAGAACCTTCCAGACTTTTTTTATGCTTTTATAATCATAAATAAACATTTACATAATATAAATTTTTTCAGAGTATTATATACTCTTTTGTAATGTACTTTTTCTTAGCATACTATGAATATTTTTCCATTGGCTTAATAGTATTCCATGGTATAGATTTAGCATAATGTATTTAAACTGTGCTGTTTAGTTCACAGTTTTTTTTCAAATTTTTCATTACAATACTTCATCTTTTCTGTCTTAACTGTTAAGTGTTTGATAAGTATCTTTTTAACCAAATCTTTGCATATTTCTTTAATTGTTAAATTCCTAGAAGTGGAATTTCTGTGCCAAATAATGTAATTTTAAGGCTCATGATAAGTATTCTCAAAATAACTCCAGAAATGAGTACATTTTATTTTAAAAGCAACTCGACTTTAGGCATCAAGAGTATTTTATGTACTGGGATTCTATATTAAGGAGCGAATCTTAAATACAGAAAAGTATGTACTTGAGATTGATAGCCGTGAATTTCAAGTTCGAGCCATAATTGTGGCTGTGGGTTTTCTTTAGCCATGTTTATCTGCACGAATGCAGGTGCAGCGTTGGAGAAAAATTGGTTAGGTTGGGCTTTTGAGAACTGTGTGAGTTCCACAAAGCAAGGGATGGGCAGGAGCATTGAGCATGTGTGCAAGGGAATGACTAATGATGGACAGTAGAATTGAAGCTGGGTAAAGAGGGAAGTTAGGACAAACTAAATGTGAGAGTGAAAAGATGATGGGATCACTAGATTGTAGGTCCTGGTGTGGTTGATAAGTTATTGGAATTAGATTACTAAAAGGAGTGAGCTGAAACCATCGGAGGTTAAAGAAAGGATGCTTGAAATTAATGTTATGGGAAGGTTACAGTTACTAATAACTGTCAGAGTATGACCTTGGGACTGAATGTTGTAAGGAGAGGGTGGAAGCCAAGATCATTTGTGAATGTGGAGAAATTACCAGGAACCCAGCATATGCTAGAGATAAGGACAGATAAAGGGCATTATGGCATCTGCCTCAAAGGAATAATGTGCTTTTGCTTGAGAGTGCAGGAGGAACCAAAATAACCCTAAGCCTTTACCCATACCACCCTTCCCCACGGCTGAGCAGCTCCCACCAGAAATCAGTCATGTTTAATTAAATCAGCAAGATAGAGCAAGCAAGCATCCTGTGCAGAGGCTGCGGTTTAGGGGAGAGTTCCTAAGATCTCAATGCAAGGAACACTGTAAGTAGAAAGAGCCAGCAATGAGGAAGCACAAAGCAGTAAAGAAGGAAACGTGAAATCAGGTAGGAGATGAAGTGAGGAGATGCCTTCTGTTCTGTGTTCTGTTCTGTACAGGTAAGTGTGGGGTGCTTAAGTTTGATGGCCTCAGCCATCCCTCCTCAGCACAAGTTATTTTGGTATAGAACTGCTTGAATGCCCCAAAGGCTGCCACATAAGGAACATTTCTGAAAGGGCAGAGGCTGCCATGAGAAATTGTGGAGTGGCAGGTACGTCTTGGGTCTGTTGGACATACCTGCCAGGCTGCTGGAGGGTGTGTGGACAGCCAGTGAAGGCCCTAATTTGGACACAGTGGACCCTACATATCCAGCGCTGCAGAATCTCATTATATATGAGGATTTCTAAAGATGCTAACCTTACTCTGGGAAAAAACATGGAGCATTGGCTGAATGAAGAAATGGAACTTCATGATTAAGAAGACATTTGGAGGCTGAGTAAACTTTTTGTGTGATAGCTTTGAAAATCAGTACAGCAGTATATATTTAGCATCTGGTAGCTGAATAGCACTCTTGTGACAGGATGATTTTCCATGCTTCCTTTTTGTGTGCTGAAATGACTAATGGAGCCATCTGGGACCAGCAGATTTTTAACTCCCTGAAGGCTGGGAAAGTTTTACTTGGCTTTATAATTCCCTACAATGTCAGGCCCCAGTGCCTGACACGCAAGCATTTATTGAATAAGCGAATGTGTGGAAGTTATTCATTCTGATTAAGGTGTTTTTTTCATTCCCTTTTGACTTCTATATAGTAGTTTGTTGTGACCTTAACTTTCTTATAATTTTTTTGTGGAGCTTCTCAGTAAATATTTGACATAGATATTATGTAATTTTCTAGATAAGGAAGCTGATGCTTTAGAGAGATTAAGTAACTCATTCAGTGTCTCACAGCTAGTATGTGGTAGAACCAAAACTCATATGAACTCCATTGGATTCTGAAGGTCAGATGCGTTCTCATATACTAGACTTAGAAATAACGTAAGAGGCATAGGAGTGACCTTATATTTCCTGAGTCTCACTTTCTCTCTCCTTCCCTCCTTAGTAAAAAGAGATAAAACTGTAGTCCTCCACTCATGCAGGGATGCTTCTCTCTCTTATGACACAGGAGCCCCTACGACCTCAGATATCAACACTGTTTCCTCAACCTTTGATGCTGCTGACCAGTATTCCTCTTGCCCACTCTAGGCAGACAGTGGTCAGTGCAGCATTGTCCTTTTAGAGCAGCGGTTCTCAACCTGTGGGTCGCGACCCCTTTGGGGGTGGAACGACCCTTTCACAAGGGTCACCTAAGACCATCAGAAAACAAGAAGATACTTACATTACGATTCATAACAGTAGCAAAATTACAGTTATAGAGTAGCAACGAAAATAATTTTATGGTTGGGGGTCACCACAACATGAGGAACTGTATTAAGGGGTCGCGGCATTAGGAAGGTTGAGAACCGCTGTTTTAGAGTATTCTTTATCTGAGTAGTTAACTATCATTTCATGATATTTGTATATGTCACATTTTTGGATTGCTCTCAAATATCTCTGAAGCACTTTTTTTTCTTTTTCCTTTTTTGCTTTTTTTTCTGAAGCACTTTTTAAAAATGGTGATAAAATATACACAACATAAAATTTACAATTTTAACCATTTTTAAGTATACAATTCAGTGGCATTAATTTTAAGTACATTCACATTGCTGTGCAAACACCACCACCATCCATCTCCAGAACTTTTTCATCTTCCTATTCACTTCCTTCAGGTTGTTGGCAAAATTTACCTTTTTGCAAGTATAGGATTGAGGTCCCCATTTTCTTGTTGGCTGTTGGCTGGGACCACTTTTAGCTCCTGGAGGCTGCCTGTAGTTCCTTGCCACACAGCTTTCTCCATAGGCTCTCTCATAACATGGCAGTTCTTTAAAGCCAGCAGGGGTGAGTTTCTGACTGACAAAGAGGGCCTGGACCCTCTTTTAAAACCTTCTACCTGATTAAGTCAGGCCTACCTAGGATAGTCTCCCTTCTCAATAACTCAGAATCAACTGTTGGTACCTTAATTACATCTGCAAAAATTCCCTCACTTCTGTGTATAATGTAACTGTGTATAACATAATCTAATCATGGGGTGGCATCTTGCCATATTCTGTTGGTTAGAAGCCAGTCTCACAGGTTCCACCCACACTCAAAAGGAGGGGCTTATACAGGATGTGAATACTGGACTGGGGTGGGAGGGTGGGGGGATGCACTAGTGTCTGTCTGCTACAGCTTCCTTTTTTATCCATTTCACAGGGTATTTTATCAGCAATTGGACACCCTTTCCCCAAAATGATTTTTAATCATGGAAGGAAAAAGAGGACTTGGGATTATCTTGAATTTGAGGAAGAAGAAGACAAACAATTAGCAGACTCTATGGCTTCTCTGGCATATCTAGTATTTGTACAGGGCATCAGTATTGATCAGCTTCCAATGGTCTTAAGGTAGGAGGTAGTGTTTGGTTTATTCATGTATTCTAAAAACAATATCATCAAACTCATTTATCTAATGTCCAGTATGTTTACTAGTGTACTAATACATTTTAAATTAAGTATAAACAAAAGCTGTCTTTAAGTTATGCTGCCTATAATCTGTTAGAGCCAGTAGTAGTCAAGTAGTGAAAGGGGAGGGGATAGTGTTAAAATAGAGGTAAGGGACTTATTGGGTCAAGTGTCAGAAAGTGTTAAAACTGGGCTTGGTTTTGAAGCTGTTGGGACCATCTTAGGTTATAAGGGAGGGAACTAGCCAGTTACCCATGGGGTAGTCTAAATTGCCATCTTTTTACTAGATTACTGGTATAATCCTGAGTGGGTATTTATCAATCCCTTTTAATGCAACTCATTCTCAACACATTAGAAAGTGAAGCTTTAAGAGTCCCTTAATGAAGACCCTTCAGTGGCTTCTTATTGCCCAAAGAATAAAGTCTGAATGAAATGCCTTCACGTGAGAAGCTTATGCATGGTCTGGTCCTTGCTTGATTGTCCTGATTCATCTCCTACCACCTTTTTTCTTGTTTACTAGGCTCTAGTAACACAGACCTTCTTTTGGTTTCTTGTTCCAATGTGTCATGAACCTTCCTGCTGTAGGGCTTTTGCATGTACTTAGAACCATTTATCCACAGATGTCACTTTCTGAGGAAAGCCTTCTCTCACCACCCTATTTAGGTTGAATCTTCCTATTATAATTAGCTTGATCTTGTCCTTTTCCTATAAAGTTTATCAAATTATTTTTAAATAAATATATAATTTTATAATATAACACCCTTGGGACTTTGAGGTCTGTAATAAGGATTATGTATTTGTCTTGCAGGCCTTGGGTGTATTTCTTTGGGTACATCTGTTTATTTATGTATGAATATACCTGGGATATATTTGTATATAAATATTGCAATAATGGCTACCACTTGCATATTCACCATGTATTAAACACTATGCTATAGCTCTATATGCATTATCTAATCTTTATAATAACCCTGTGAAATAGAGCATTATCTCATTTTACAGATGAAAATAAAAGGCTTAAACAAGTTAAGATACCACCCAAAATCATATAATTAATTAGTGGGATAGTTGGAATTCAAACAGTTCTATCTGACCCCAGAGCCTATATTCTTAATCACACTCTACCACCAAAATGCCTTAGGTATGTATATTACGGTATTTTGCCATGTATAATGTGTACTTTTTTGCTTAAATTTGTGAGGGAAAAATAAGGATGTGCATTATACATGGGCAGTACTAATTCTATATCTATATAAATGTTTTTAATTCTTTTATTTATGCTTATGAGTTAAAAGTGTAATTAGAAATCAATAATGATATCCATATGCAAAACAATACCCTGGAATACGATAATTGGTTTTGTTGAATTTACGACAAACTTGCAACAACAAAGAGTTCTTGGCCTTCTACGATGTGTAAATATCGTAAGTTTGTTACCAGTACATAAAATTTCTTGTATCTTGTATCTGTTTTTGTGTTTTGTAATTATTTGTTATATAAAATTTCTTGTACCATAATATATTAAAAAGTAAATGCTAAAATCCCTTTATAATACAAAAAAACAAGTACCTAAATGTAAACAAATAATTTGAATTAAAAAATGTAAATGAAAGTTTTCCCTGAAACTTTGGGCTAAAAACGTGGGTGTGCGTTATACACGGGAGCGCAGTATACATGGCAAAATATGTAGTTTTGAGGCTACCATAACAAAGTACCACAAACTGAATAGCTTAAATAACTGAAATTTATTGTCTCACAGTTCTGGAGGTCAGGGGAAGAATTGGTTTCTTCTGAGGGATGTGAGGGAGAATCTGTTCCACGCCTCTCCTCTATAGCTTCTGGTGCTTTGCTGGCAATCCTTGATGTTCCTTGGCTTGTAGAAGCCTCCTCCTGTCTGCCTTCATGTTCATGTGGCACTCTCCCTGTATGCATGTCTCTGTCCACGTTTCCCTTTTTTATAAGGACTTCAGTCATGTTGGATTAGGACTTACACTAATGACCTCACTTGAACTTGATTACCTTCAGGGTGGGGGAAGGTTCCTGTTCTGCTCCTGCCTATTCCTACCCCAATTAAAAACAAACAAGCCCCTATCTCCAAATAAGGTCATATGCTGAGGTACTGGAGGTTAGGAAATAAGGTCATATGCTGAGGTACTGGAGGTTAGGATTCCAACATATCATTTTTGAGGGGGACACCATTCAACCCATAATAGTATGTATGTAAAATTTCTAAAATTATGTGTGTGTGTGTGTGTGTGTGTGTGTATACACACACACATGCAGTTTTTTTTCTATTTTAGCCCATCGTACCTTTTGCAATTTAATATGGGGCATATTGAAGTATTTCTGCAAAGGTAAGATCATTTAGATGGCATCTCAGAATTAAATAGTAGTACTAAAATAGTCCCTGACAAGATAAGGGGAGACTACCTTCTCTTTGCCAGGCCCTAATTAATTAATCGTTTATTTTACAAAAAGTGAAGCAGATGTTCACGACAGAGACAGAAGTGAGGCATAGAGGTTTTATAACAATCTCTTATTGTAAACCCAAAATAATATAAAAATAATGTTTTATAAGGGGATTTCAAATCATCTGCTTCTAAGGTTTCATCCCTTATTTCAAAAGTTGGTAAATTAAAACACTTCTATCGCACTGTAGCCTCCTCCGTCTAAGGAGGGGTGGTCAATAAGAGCAATTCATCCATGTTTTTGCTTCATGGACACAATCTGTGAGCTGCACCTTTTAAAACTTAGATTATTGACAGTGATCTCATTCAACAACTTTTCTCATTTGAGATGCTAAGAAGCAAAGCTTTCTCTTTTAAAAAAATTTCAAAGTAACAGGTATGCATAATTTTTCCAGACAGATATTTAAGAATTTTACAAAACTATATATGCTTTGTTTTCTTTTTCCTGTAATATTGGGTCGTTGGGAAAGTCATGACGTATTTTTCTATGATTTTCAATGCAAAAATGTGTCATAACTTTCCCGACGACTCAATATGTTTAATTTATCTCTGAGATTAGTCAGTGCCTTTCAGTACTATCCTCTAGGAACACTAGTGACAGTTGATCAATCCTATCTCTTCCCAGGTGAAGGAAGATTTGTAGCATGGCAAATGTGCAAAGCCTTGGCCTACAAGGCAGGAATTTCCAAGGGTCTCCTGGCACAAGTAGTTATTATAACTCTGTAAATTTTCTGTATTATGTATGTCTTAATGATTTTATATTTTTTTACTTAGTTTCTGTTATATTCATACAATGAGAATATGTATTGATATTTTCTTAAGATTTCCAAGCTGTTTAGTCATTGAGCCAAAAACGTAACATTTGTATGGTTAGAATAAGAACTCGGACCCTGAGGTAGTTTTTGCCACAGATCCTAAATATTTAGTTCACAATGATTGTAAAACTTAAAAAAATATTATCACAAATGGAAAGCACTTATTTTTTTGTATGAAAAGAATCGAAAAGATTTTACAGATTAATCAACTGGAATACAAAGTATTATAATAGGTATAATTGATTTCTTAGCACTTGTATTTGAAGATCTCTTGATTTAATACCAGGAAACAAGCCCTGAGTAGGCTGATTTTGGTCAGATTTGATGTCAGTAGCCAAATCAAAAGTCAGATGAAAGATGGATTAAGAATTTTGACTAAGTTCTTTAACAGAATTTCTCCTTAATGATACATATTTTTAAAGTCTTTAAATTTCAATTTTTAATTAAATGAATTTTGGGTATTTTTCCTAAAATAAAGAATGATTCTAAAGCAATTTAGAAAAGCATGTAATAAATTCTAATATTCTCTTCCAGAACAGAAGAGTCTGTTTTCTGCAAAGGATTGGTAAGATTTGTTTGCACCCAACATAATTTAAATACATAGTAATGTCAACAAATACAGCTGTTGATTACCATATATGCATCTCTGCATATATTTTAATCTGTAGGATCTGTTGGAAAATGGTTTATTGAGAATAGAAGATAACAGTCTACTTTACCACTTCTTAGAAATCAAAAGTTTTCTTACCGTACCTCAGGTGAGTAAAATACGTATTCTGATCCTAAAAATAGCCTCTTTGCTATTCTGAACTTAAATGAAGGTCTTTTCAGACTCCTCTCCCACTTTCTTCTCCATATCCTTTGAGAACTAGTGCCATGCTGTCAAACAAAACTTTGTGTGATGGTGGAAGTGTTTTATTATCTGTGCAGTACAGCATGAAAGCTACTAGCCACATTGAACACTGAAATGTGGCTAGTGTGACTAAAGAACTACATTTAAAATTTAATTTAAATTAATTTAAACTTAATAACTACACGTGGCTAGTGGCTACCATAGTTGACAACATAGTATCTAGTGGACAAACATAACTTCCTTCTTTAACGCTTTGTTTCTGTAGGGACCTTGGAAAATCAGCTCTTTTACTTTTATTATAACTCAAATCCTCCGGACTTCATCAAGGCATGCATTCACTCATTACTAGAAAGACATTTTGTTTTTCCCTCCTATGATGTATTTTGCCTAGTACTCTTTGATAGTTATATTCAAGTAGGTCCTTAGATATTGATGTGGAAACTTGTTTTTCCACTATTTAAATAGAAAAATATGGCTTTTGTTAGTGTATTAGGCCTGAATATTTTAATGATGGATTATATTTCTGCATGTTTGATTTTTTTGGCCACTTTAGACATAATTGAAAATTAGCATTCACTTCTAAATTTATATTTTGTAATACCCCACTCAATATCACTTATATAATGGATTGTACTTAGCTTCCTATAGACGTAACAGTGGAATGAAAGGCTTAGGGAAAAGTTTACTTCATTTTAAAATCTCCTCACTTCTCTGAATATTTATTATCTACCATTGATGATATAGTTGTTGGCAGTCAATATAATCTATTAACATCTGAATTAAAAATTGTTTTTATTTCCAGGGTTTAGTCAAAGTAATGACACTTTGCCCTGTTGAGACATTGGTATGTAAATTGTTTATTAAAATTTCTCATAACCCATTTTAATAGACAATTTAATCTTTATTCAGCTTATGTAACAATATTATTTCTTCCATTTTAGAGGAAAAAGAGTTTAGCTATGCTTCAGCTGTATATTAACAAGTTGGATTCTCAAGGCAAATATACGTTATTTAGGTATGTATCAAGAATGGTTAATTGCGAACTATGTGGTTGATTAAAAAACAAAATAATGCCATTTAATTATTCCAGGTTACATATTTCAGTATGTTTTACATGTAATTCAACTCTACTTGGAATTCATATTGTAATAAGTTCTCTTATTTGTGATGGATAGAGAAGAGTTAATCAAATATTATGGACACATATTTATGCATATATATATTACATGAATAATAGTATATATTTCATTCAATTAATTGAAATACTGTAAAATTAAAATAGACTGAAAAGATTAAACTGAGATTGATAAGTCTATTGCTAGAACTTTACATATGTCAATAATCTCCAGTATTCACAGTTGAAATTAATGGCTCTGGAGTTATAACTTTGACAGGCTGTTCATTTTAAGTTAATAGTAGAGCTTATTAATAGTCCTGTTTAAAAGGAAAAGCAACTCTCTGAGATAAAGAAGAGCAAGCTTTCTGTAAAAGGCCAAAGACTAAGTGTAGGCTTCATGGGCCAGTCTCTGTTGCAGCTGCTCAATTATCTTTGTAGTGATTGTGTTTCAATAGAACAGGCAGCAAGCTGAATTTGGCCTGCAGATTTTAATTTGTTGACACCTAGCTAATAAAAATGAGTTAAAAACAGGGGTGGCCAAGTGGCTTAGTTGGTTAAGAGCTTGCCTCAAGAGTGCGAGCTCTGAGCAACAGGGTCGCCAGTTCGGTTCCCAGCCTGAACTGTCAACTGGTGGCAGGACGGCTCAGCTAAAAAAAAAAAGTTAAAAATGGATTTAGGCATTGTTAAAGGCTAAAAAGCCTTCTTTGTGATAGGCCTGAACTAACACTCTTGATCCTGTCTTTTCTTCATTTCTATTGATAGAGTCAGGGTAGGTTTATGAAATCTCAATTTGATGCTTAGGTCTTATACCTGCTTTCCTATTCTGATCTACCTGTAATCATACCAAGAAATCCCCCTTTTTTCTTAAGCTAGTAATATTGACTTTCCTTTCTTTGCAATTAAGTTTGTCTAACCAGACTAGTCTACTTTCACAGGGAATAATTTGGGGAGTTTTTAGGCTATTATAGTAGTGCCCATTCTTGCCAAGTTGCAACTAGATGCATAAAAAGAATCAAATTTGGTTTGATAGAAATTTCTTGTTGGAAAAATCCAGTTAAAATAGAATTTGCTAGTTGTGAGCAGTAATCATAATAGGTGATTTTGTAATTGGTTGATGATCTTGCTAATTGTCTTCACTGGTTTTTGTATTCCTAGAAATAACTCATAACCCGTTTGAATTTGTAAAACTTGCATCATCATTTAATTATAATGCAGTCCAGGGTAATTTCAAATGTATTGTAATTTTGCTTTCAAGGTGCTTATTGAATACAAGTAATCATTCAGGTGTGGAGGCCTTTATTATTCAAAATATCAAAAACCAAATTGACATATCATTAAAGGTAAGAGCTAAGGTGTCAATTATCAACTTATTTTATTTTGTAGGCTGTATTTATTCATTTGTGTAATGTATTAATGTGGATTTTTGCCCTATAGACTTTTTCTGTCTTTAGTATTGGAGTGTATTTTTCCCTCATTTCTATTGCTTATTTATTTATTTATTTATTTATTTATTTATTTATTTATTTATTTATTCATTCATTCATTAAGCTGAGCCATCTCCTGTTGGCAGCTCAGCAGCTGCTCAGCTCAGACCAGGAATCAAACTGCTGTTGCTCAGAGCTCAAACTCTTGAGCAAGCTCTTAACCAACTGAGCCACTCAGCCGGCCCTTGCTTTTTTAAAATTCTGAATTTTGAAGTTTTGTTAACTGTAGATTTAAATTATATTTATTCTTTGTGCTGATATGACTTTTTGTTTTGCTATCTCCTTTTGAAATATTAATGGAAACTGAGTCTAATCTGTTTGTGAATACTAAGTAACTCCATATAGAAAACAGAGAGAGAATGCCCATTGTCCACAACCTGGAAGAGTTTGTTCTAGGTATCTGAAAATAGTAAAAGATAGAATGGAAATTAAAGTTAAAAAATATTTTTTAAATGTATAATAGTTTATTTTTGTAGTACCAAGATATTAGAAAACACATGAATTTATTAAGCTATTATTTAAAGCCTTTGTCAATTTTTCTTTTGCTTTTCAGAGAACATATAATAAATGGTTTACAGGACCACAGCTGATTTCCCTTCTAGATTTGGTACTCTTTCTCCCAGAGGGTGCTGAAACAGATCTACTACAAAATTCAGATAGGTGAGGTAATCATTACTAAGATTCACATAGTAAATGCAGAACAAAATAGGGAACTTAAAGTAATAAAACATATTTTCCTGTGTTTTTATGATCTATGGTTAATTCATAAAATTACATAAAGATTTTCATATTTAAGTAATTAGATACTAGTAAAAACAAAATAAAAAACTCTTTTTTTCAAAAGTATGACCAACAGTATGATTTTTGTACCTTTGACCTAACCAGCATTCCAATATAGCTTGTAGAGATTTGCAACTACAGCATTGGTGACTAAAAACTAAGAATATTGTGTATAATTTATAAAAAGCATATGTGTTTAGGTTTTATTGTTTTGTTTTCCAGACCATCATTTTTTTTTTTTAACTAGGACATGTAATTTCACTTTCAGTATACTAGAATGGATGCTGAGAAATGATTGTAAGCATTTATAAAAGGAATCCTAAAATTCAGGAAGCAAGAGGTGATACTCTTAAATACTAAAGATAACAAAGCTTCCTTGAGGAAAAAAAGTAATTTTCACAGTTGTATTTTTGAACTTTGAGAACAAGAGTGATAAGTTATTACCACTCCAAAAGATACGTTAAAGGGAATACATAGTTATACACAGATTTTCAACTGCATGGGGTTTGGCACCCATAAACCCCGCATTATTCAAAGGTCAACTGTACATTAATGGCAAACATAATTATAAAAATATACTCTCGATTTTAGCTTACTTTTTCATTAAAATTGCTGTTGACTTTATAAAACTGTACTGTAAATAACAAATTATATATTTTTAATTAACAGGATAATGGCTTCATTAAATTTATTGAGGTATTTGGTTATCAAAGATAATGAAAATGACAATCAAGTAAGTGAATTTTTTGAAAAAGAAACTGACTATTCAAAATGCATAAAGAATGTTTTTTATTTTCATATCAATATCTACTTAAGCTAGTATTTCATATCTTACCCAGCTACAAAGGCTGGAAGAAATGCCAAAAATTGTCCTGAAACCTGAAGTTAATTCCCAGGAGTCCTTGCCACCCCACATCTAGCTTCTCTTTTCTTTTTCTGTTCCTTTTTCTGTTGCTTTTTCTGCTTTCTTGCTATAAGCACTACTTAGACCTGTTAGGTAGGTAAGTTGGAGGTCCTAAGTTTAACCTTTTGGGGCTCAACATATATTTGGTTGTCTTGTTCAGTTGCCTCCATCTATAAGTCATGATTTCAGTCTGAGCTGTGTAAAATAAAACCATCTGATAATTTGATGTCTCCTCAACAGACATGGCAAACTGAAGCATTTTCAGCACTAAAACAGAATCTGTTAACACCGCGTTTTGGATAATGTGTGGGAAGTTGGATTTGTTTTTAGTAGTGTATCATTAGAGGTATTCAATAAATAGAAAACTGTTTGAGGGAGATTTTTTCATAAAGTAAAATTATAGCTGCTTTCTAATCTTCTGTCTATTCTAATAGTTGCTTTCCTTATGTGTCATCTGTATTAATTATAACTACCTGAATCACATGTGGTGTTAATCTGTTTCTTTTTTTAGAAAGTACGGTAATAAAAGAAATGAAATTGACTTTTAGATAAGGATGCTGAAGAGCTTTTTCTTTTTTAATTTAAGCAAATCATGGTTTGGAATGGAAAGTTTATGAGAAAAGTAGCAGTTTCCTTCCCTCTTGATTAAGTCTAGTAGACTCAGTGACTTGACCTCTTCAGCCAAAAGTAGTTATTTGCTATCATTGACTAGTGCTTACTTTGTACCAGGGTGCTTTTTTCTTTTCTAACATTTTATTGTGAAATTTTTCAAACATATAGCCAAGCTGAAAGTACTTTACAATGATCACTGATTTACCTACCACGAAGATTCTACTATTAACATTTTACTCTACTTTCATCATGTATCCATCCATTAATCTCTTAAACTTTTTTGACATATTTCAAGGTAAACAGCAAACATCAGCATATTTCCCCTAAATATTTCAGCATGTATTTCATTAAATAGAGTTAATATCTGCCTATAGTTTTTCTTTGAGTTAAAATTTAGATAAAATAAAATAAACAGATTTTAAGTGTACATTGACCCAAGTTTTAACAAATGCATAGATCTACGAGGTCTGACAATAAAGTTCGCGAACTCATCCTAGAAAAAGTGCTACATACCTCATTGCTGAATATCACTATGGTCACCTTCGAAGTACTCCCCTTGGGAAGCTATGCACTGACGCCAGCACCTAGTCCATCGTACAAAGCAATTTGGAACTTTTTCTGGAATGGCCATTAGAGTTGTGGTCATATTACCCCTGATGTCCTGAATGTCATAAAAACATCTTCCTTTTCAATATTTCCTTTATCTTTGGGTAAGGAAAGAAGTCACTGGGGGCCAGATCAGGTGAGTAGGGAGGGTGTTCCAATACAGTTATTTGTTTACTGGCTAAAAAAACTCCCTCACAGACACTGCCGTGTGAGCTGGTGCACTGTCGTGATGCAAGAGCCATGAATTGTTGGTGAAAAGTTCAGGTCATCTAACTTTTTCATGCAGCTTTTTCAGTACTTCCAAATAGTAAACTTGGTTAACTGTTTTTCCAGTTGGTACAAATTCATAATGAATAATCCCTCTGATATCAAAAAAGGTTAGGAACATCATTGCAACAAGTTCGCGAACTTAATTGTCAGATCTCATATATTATCCAAATCCTTATCAAATATAGAACATTACTATCACAAGAAGTTTCCTGTTTCCCTTCCCAGTTAATTCTGATCTCATCACTTCACACCCATCCCCACGGCCTGCCAATGGCAACCATTATTCTGGCCAGGTGCTATATGTCATTTATTCTTCACAATGCTATCAGTACTCTTAATTTTTTACCTTTCATAAGTAATGTAGGCACAGGAAGGATCTTTTTTTTTTTTTAGCTGAGCCATCCTGCATCCTGCCACCTTTTGGCAGCTCAGCGGCAGCTCACCTCGGGCCGGGCATCGAACTGCTGTTGCTCAGAGCTCAAACTCTTGAGTGAGCTCTTAACCAACTGAGCCACTCGGCCGGCTCCCAGGAAGGATCTTTAAGTGGCACAAGGACGCACACCTAGTGGCAGAACCTTTGAATCACAAACTAAATCCTGATTTCTAAAGGAGCTTCTGATAAAAGTAGAAAAGATAAGTATTATTCAGCATCAATGGAGGCCCTTCTTCAGGAAAGTGTCCTGAGGATAAGGGGTGAGTTTTTACTTTTTCAGTAATCCAGAAAGGCCATACCTAGAGATGATCTGATTCACCTGACGGGAAGAAAAAGAATCTTCTTAACTAAGAGTTGATAGATTTATCAAGTATGAAACAACACTGTACTATAGGGGCAGCCTCGAGAAGGAAGACAGAACAGTTCAGCACTGTGCAATGTCAGCTATGCCATTCACAGCTAATACCTCACTTTCATTTGCTTTGAACATTATATGGTGAAGAAAAGGTTATAACCAGCCTATAAATTTGTTTTCTTATATAATGGTTTTAAAATTTTTTGTTAGGGGTCAAATATTCCAAAGTAGTATTGCCATGCAAGTTATCATAAGAATTACACCAGGAAATTAGCAGAAAATCCTGTCCAAGATGGCAACCTGACATCTTTCAGGCAACTTAAGAGCCTGTTCATTATGGAAGTATTTCTCCCAAGTGCAGTCATAATAGGTCGTGTATAAATGATAGACAAATCTGTTTGCTGTGGTTAATCAAAAAATGACAGCTTCTGAGTTCCTAGAAATTTTGATTAAAGGAAAAACCAAAAGATACTCTAGTGATGCTGAATTGTGGGTAGTTTTATTGAAAAGGACTCCTACCAGTACCTATTTTTGAACAGTTAAGTGTGCTGACAGGATAGTCAGATGAGAAGCTGAAAAGCAACCAGAAAGGCGTATAGGAAAATTAAATAAGAATAGAACCATTCAATACAAAGTGATTCATAATTGAATAATAATACATTTCTCTTCTTGCTATTTCAAGTTACTGTCAACTGACTTACTCTTTTCATAAGTCATTCCCCTCCTCACCCCACTATTTCATGCCTCTTTATCTCTCTGCATAGGCACCTTCTCCCACACTTTATTTTCACATAACTTCTTAAACCTTGAATCTCCATCTCTACTGGTAAAACCAACTTGGTTTTTATACCTCATGTTCATTATTTGGTAGGTACCTTTAAGTATGAGTTATTTTGAATTACAATAATATTCTAATACATAGCCTATAATTTTATCCTTCACCTCTGTCCTATCCTTTCTCATCTGCCTGCTTACCCATTTTTTTTCTTAAATAAGTTGATTGTAATATATAGAATGAACACAGGGTCAAGGGAAGCATTGTGAGATTATAAAGTCCACAAAGTATCAGGAATTTTTAAAAATTGAATTATGTAATGTATGCATATATGCTTTTCATTTAGGAAAATATCTGGCCTACATACACATACATATAATTCTATATAATCCATATTTTTGGAGTCTCATTTAAATTGTTTCGTTCTTCAAGATTAAAACATGCCCCTTGTATGTCATTTGCAGAGCCAAATGATTTCAGGTGATAAATGTTACTTAATATTACAAGTGCAGAAGTTCTGCAACATTACTTCATAAGTAAGTCATATACAAATTAGGAGAAAGGGGAAAACTGGGTCTTATTCATTTCCTTCTTTTTATTATTTCATTATCATGGTTGACTATATCCTTTGCAAGGTCCCTGTCTGTTGTGGCAATACATTTCATTGTGGCCTGGAACCGCCTAGTCTTCCTTTTGTGAGACGGGCTGCAGTGAATTTTGAAATGCATAGTTAAGCTTTAGAACTGAAAAGATTTCAGAACTACTCCATCACTGTGACTACTAGGGTATAAAAATTAAAAGTAAGCATTTGTGAACATTTCAAAAAGTTACTTTTTCTAGACATTGGAAATGAAATAAATCTTAAAATGATTTTCTTTGTAATGTTTTTTAAAGATCCAGTAACCTTAATGTAAGAGAGAAAATAGTCTTATATATAGCTTCTTCACTCCTACATCCTTCTAAAAATATTACTGTTTTTTATCATATGAAAGATTTGTGGAATTATGCTGAACAGAATGGGCAAGAATTTTCTTTAGCCTAATTTTGGCACATGTTTTTATTACTTTAAGTTTTATGATTATGGGCAGTGTATTAAATTATTGCCATTAAAAACAACTAAGGTCTTAATAAAGACTTCCTAGATTTGCATTGCCCCATATAGTAGAAGGTAGCCATGTGACTATTTAGATTTTAAATTAATTTTTTAAATTTTAATTAAAAATTCAGTTCTTCATTGGAACTTGCCTTGCCAGATATCATAATTTATTACAAAGCCACAGTAATTTAGTGTGGTATTACCATAGGGAGGGTTAGATTCGATAGATTGGCCAATGAAATATAATAGCCTAAAAATAGACTTAATTAATTGAAACTTAATGATGATACTAATGGTAACTTATATTTATTGAAAGCCATATGCCAAATTGTGCTTTAAACATGTATTACTGCATTTAATCCTCCTACAAGGTAAGTATTACTGTTTTCTTCATTTTACAGATGAGAAAATGAAGGCATAGTGAGAGAAGTATAATTTGCTCAAAGTCACATAGCTAGTTAGTTGAACAGCCAGTTTGTGAGCTTGGGCAATCTCCCAGAGTTCACGTTCTTAATTCACTATTGCACTGTACTCTCTGTCTGAAATGAAGATGCCATTACAAATTAGAAGAGAAGAATGGGAGTATTCAATAAATGATGCTGAGTAATTGGTCATCTATATGGGGGAGAAATTAGATGCCTATTTGACATAATACAAAAAACAAAATTCCAAACAAATTGAAAAGGAACTTAGAAATTTTTAGAACATGTTATAGGAGAAGTATCTGTGTTACCTAAGGATAGGGAAGGGTTCCTTAAGTAAAAAAGCTCCACAAAAGAAAAGATTGATAAACGGAACGACATTAAAACTACGACCTATTCAAGAAAGAAAATGTGTACAAACTGCGAAAATGTCACAGTGAAAGAAAAAAAAACTTCATTCCTCCATCCAATAGTTAGTATAAAAATACATAAATAACTACACGGCAAGAATAAAAAGACCACAAATCAGAAAAATAGGGAAAGAATACAGATACTGAACAGGCAATCAACAGATGAGAAAAACCAAATGGCCAATAAAACCACAAGACAAGATTTCCAGTATCACTATTGTTTATGGAATGTAACTTAAAACTTAATGAGATATCATGTTGCACCCATCAGAATGGGAAATGTTAAAAAGGTGGGTAGCACAGGTGAGGATATGGAACAGTGTGAAAAAAATTGGTAAAGTCACTTTTGGAGAGCAATTTGGTATTATCCAATGAAGTTGAAGAAGGACTACTCTGACTCAGTAAGTCCTCCCATAGGTATATAATTTAGAACAGTGTTCTTCAAACATCTGGTCATAACCAAACATGAGTGAATCATTAAATCAACTTAGTGGGTAATACCAGCAATTTTTACAAAATGAAATAGAAAGTAATTGAAAACATCAGGTAGCTTGTACAGATTTTTAATAAAAGTTAGGGATATCGCAACAAATTTTATGGCCAATTGCAAAAAACAATGTGAGAAAGTCGAGGGGATGTGACACATTGGCTAGGAACAAGATGTTCTGTGTATTGCTTTACAGCATCTCTTATGATGTATTTACTGGTCAGTTTGACCATTACCAGAACAGGAGATCTGACATTGTACAGTTTAATTTTATAGTAATACAATATATACAATAGTTGTGAAGCTAAATTTCACTGCTTGTCTGAAAAATTGTCAAGTTGCACAATCAGATTATTTTAATAATCTTTTTAATTTTAAAAGTTCATTGAGTAGCCAAACTCTTGAAACTTTTTCAGTGATCAGAGCTAAGCATGATCATTGTATCATATCAAAGTTCATTTATTCTTATGGAAAGTTCTAGAAAGGGTATATGACCTCAGGAATAATATTCATCTTTTTGTAGTTGAAAAGCAACTCATTTGACAAATTTCGAAGGTAATATTTGAGAAGCAAAACTGACATGTCTGATTTTCTGGAACGCCTAAGAAATGAAATTTAAAACTATAGAGGAAGCATGATTATATATTTCAATATGTTAAACTTATCTGTGGGTTGCAAAAGACTATTGTTATAGAAGGAAGGCTTAAATGTAATCCCTTTAACTAATATATGTTCCTGAGATTAATGAATAGAATATTAATAAGGAATATAGCCTGAATATAATAAAATTTGATATATTATTACATCTAATTTCTCTTATAAACTTTTAATCATTACTTTCTAAAGGAGAAATTTAAAACATTCAAGAAAAATGTTTGATAAAATATATAGTCCTTTATCAGCGATTAGGTCAAACTTGTTGGCTGAAAAGAATTGGTGAAATTTAGTTCATTTACATCAAAGAATGAATATAAAACATTAAGTTTACCATCATTTTGGGAATAAGATTTCAAAGAATTTCTATTACTAAATAAAAGTGAAAAGGGGAAAGAAAAAATTTTCAACTTAGAACAACTTTTTTAAAAGGAAACTTTTTCTGTCCTTTATTAGGTAGGGTTTTATAAATATTTTCTTCCAAAGAGCAAAAATTTTTAATTTGATGAAGTCCAACTTATCAGTTTTATTCTTTTATATGATGTATGCTTTTTGGGTTCTAAGATATCTTTGCTTAACCAAAGGCCACAAAGATTTTCTCCTAGGTTTTCTTATAGAAAAGTTTTACGGTTTTATATTTTATATTTAGGTCTATGATCCATTTCAAGTAAATTTTTTTTAGATAGTGTAAACTATGGGTTAAGGTTTTTTTGTTTTGATTCTAACACTTTGTTGAAAAGCCTATCTTTAACTTGTGGAATTGTCTTGGTTCCTTTGTCAAAAATCAGTTTACCATACAATTGTGGGTCTATTTTTGGACTCTCTTCTGTTCTGTTGACCTATATCTGTTCTTTTACCACACTGTCTTGATTACTGTAGCTTTATAGTAAGTCTTGAACTCAAGTAGTGTGAGTATGCCAACTTTGTTCTCAGAAATTTTTGGCTATTCTAGGTCCTTTTTCATATAAATTTTAGAATCATTTTGTCAATTTCTACCTATAAAGGAAAAACACACCTGTGTTTCTTCTCTACTCTCAGTACTTCACTTTTTTAAGTGAATGTGGTAAAATGTTTACATTTGACAAACTGAGGTGTTAGTAAAAGGGTGTTTTCTTTGTAGTCTTATATATGTTCGAATGTGTTTTGATCTGCAGAGGGTCACCAGTAATCTTTATAGCCTTGAAAGACACAGTGATATTGGGCAGTAGTGGGTTCTACCTATAAGCTTAGAGGTAAGGGGAAAGAAGGTTAAAAAAAAGGGATAGAGAAAGGTAAAGAAAAGACTGGAGAGAGGGATGACCATAGAAATGAGAAGTGGGTGCATGTGCTAAAATAACGTGCTCAATGAAGAAGTTCCTGCTGCACTACTGCATAATCCACATTTTCCATGAAAAGACAAGAAAACTTTCTATTATGGAAATGTAAGTTTAAATACATAATTTAAAATGTCTTTTTAAAATACATAACTTAAAACAGGTTCATTGCTTAAAAATCAGGTTAAATCAGCAAAAAGAAATAAAAATCCCACCATCCTTCATTGATATTGTAGTGTATGCCCTAGGCTTTATGCCAGCACATCTGTACATTTAAAAAAAGACAAAAAAATGAGATCACACTATAGGAATCATACTGTTCGTAACCTTTTTTTCACTCACCAATATGTCCTGAAGAACAGTATTTTAATGGCTATGTAGTTTTCCATTGTGTAGATATACCAAAATATACTAACCAATCTCTATTGTGAAGTATTTTCATTACTTCCAATTTTTCACTAAACATTATTTTTGTAAATATGTCTGCAATGGAATCATTACAACATACAACTTTAATTATTTCCCTAGGATAAGTTCATAGATGCTGAGTAAAAAGATGCATATTTTTGAAGTTTTAGATTTTTGACAGTTCCTCCCAAGAACTCCACTTATCCTAACATTATAAGAGTAATGACAAAGGACAGATTTAAATTCAAAGGCTATGTTTGATAGTCATTGAAGATATTAATTATTCAACATAGATATTCGAGTAGATTTTATTTGGAGGGCTACATGTAAAATGTCATACTACTTAGATCAAAATAAGTTCATTACAAAATATGTTTTAAGGATAATTGGTTTCCTAAGTTTCCCTTTTTTACCTAAGATACTTTCCTTTGTAAAGAGTACCTGAAAACTTAATATCAGTAAACTTTTTTTTTTTTTTATAAAAAGAAAAGACTTTATGACTCCCCTCCTTTAGTACTATAAGAAGAAATGCTCTTGGAATGAAAACCTCTCATATGGATGGCCTAGTAAGCTGTCTTGGGCAGGTAAAATCTCCATCTCTATTTATCACCAAGAAAGTCCATATCAGCTTTGTGTTAGAAAAGTTTCTTTGAACAGGGAAGAAAAAGAATCTTCTAGAACTGGATCTGTGACAGGGATATCAATGGAAAGATCAAGAGTAAAGGGATATGTAAGGTAGAGTCCTTGTGGGGATGGCATATAGGGAAAGAGAAATGTCCTAGACCATGTGGATTATCCTCAAATAATTTTCTCATGGATAAAACTTGTAAGTTACAGATCTCAAAACCAGGAGCAGTCCAAATGGCACAGCACTGAGTGTACTGACCAAAGTACATTTTCGTTTTGATTGGTATGTTTTTGATTGGTATTCATATAAAATAACTAGATGTACTAAAGAATGCATTATTAAACAGTAAACTCTACCTTGAAAGGCAAGGATCATGTCTTATTCATTCTTGTTTCTCGAACTCTCAAACGTTTAATAGGTAATAAATGTTGAACCAAATAACTCATTGTTTCATTAATTCTTCTAAACAGACTGGAATATGGACAGAACTTGGAAAGATTGAGAATAATTTCTTAAAGCCACTCCATACAGGACTTAATATGTCAAAAGCACATTATGAAGCACAAATTAAAAATAACCAAGAAAATAGCCAAGGTTGGTAATGTGCCAGTTTTATTTTCGCTTATGTCTAAAAATTAGTCCAATTTTAAAACTGCCATTTATATTCAAAATAGCTATTTTAAATCTTGTATTTGTCTAATTTGTAGCAAACAAGGAACATTACCAGGGCTGGCCGAGTGGCTCAGTTGGTTAAGAGCTTGCTCAAGAATGCGAGCTCTGAGTAACAGCGGTTCGATTCCTGGCCCTAGCTGAGCTGCTGCTGAGCTGCCAACAGGTGGCAGGATGGCTCAGCTAAAAAAAAAAAAAATGATTCTAGCAGATTTATAAGCCAGTTAACACTGAAATTGCGTTTAAAAAGATTTAAACCAAACTGAAACATATTCTGGTTTAAAATCTCAAATCCTAATTAGGAGTATAATTATATCACAAGTATTTCTGTTTGGATATCATTGTCCTTCCTTTGGTATTACTTGGTCCACTCCCAACTCCACCCTCAAGTGAATCTGTACAAATTACGAAAAAGAATCTTAGATCCAAAATTACTTTTTTAAGTCAACAATTCTATAATCTTACGATCTTTTTCATATAACTATGGTGGTATTTCTATGAGCATTACTAGAAATTTTATCGTTTTTAGTGTAATTGAGTATAATTCTGATTATATACTGAAGAAAAAAGTTTATAAATTTTCATCCTGTATATGCCAATATAATGCTAGTTACCTACAGAAACACTAATTCACATGTTGGAGAAGTTGGATATTTTTACTTTCTAATAGGTTGATGTAAGCATACTCTGAGCTATTAAATACTAAGACTTAATTTATACAAATCACTGACATTTTTAAGTAAGTGAATGATGAAAGTAGCTTATAAATTTATTATTAAAATATGAGAGTTGTTTTAATGGTTAAGTGTGACACATAATTTTTTTTTCTTCTCTTGCAGAAGTCCAGAAGTCTAAAGACATTTGTTCTATAACTGTAGGTGGAGAAGACCTCCCTAATATGCCTCCTGAAATGCAGCTTAAGGTGAATCTGAAATTTTCCTAAGCTACATCCAGCTGAAATCTTTTCTTTTTCTGCTTTGTTTTGTTATAAATGCAGCCTTAATAACACTAAATTGTTTTGGCATTGCAGGTCCTGCATTCAGCTCTTTTCACGTTTGATTTGATTGAAAGTGTTCTGGCTCGGGTAGAAGAGCTCATTGAAATAAAAAGGTCTACCTCTGAAGAAAATACTGGGATAAAGTGAAAACTCCATGTCTTAAATAAAAAATTAGTAAAGTACTGTATCCATTTATTTATTTAATACCTTTACAAAGTTTTTTTCTGTAAAACATCGATAGAAAAATAAATGTAGCTTTCCTCATTTATCAGTTTATAATGGCACATTATGGATCAGTAGTAGTATGTTTTTAAAAAGATCCATCTCCATGGTAAATAATGCCCATATATGTATTCTAAATACTATTTAAATTCAATACAAATTAATAATTTTGTATTATAATTTCATAAAATTATAATTTGAATTGTCTTTATGTATTCATATAGTTGTAGTGAGTTTATAAATTTACTGATACACTTTGTGTTCCAGTTAGATGCTTTGTTATATTTTAGAACTCCTAGTGTCAAACTGGACATCACATGACTATAAGAGAGTATAGAGAGGTTTTGAGTTCAGGCCAGTTGACTGCTTAATTTCCTTCTTTTTCCCTGTCTCAGAAGTCTTAGCGGGGGGAAGTCCTATTACCATCTCTCAAGCAGCAGTTATGTGACTGCTTCTAAGATTAATTTTAGAACTATTGGATGCCCTTGTGGAAAAGCTGAAAAGTATATATGACTTTTCCTTTAGTCTAAGGGGCTAATTAGAAAATGCTGTATTTTTATTTCCTAATAAATATCTGTCTATCCAATTTAATTTGTATCATTAAGAAACTGCATCTGAGTTTTATATGTATGTACCAATTTTTCTAAACATTAAAGGAATTACTCAAAACTAAAAATAATCAGTTTTAATTGTATATATTTTATTATTTTAAATTTTACAAGTCCTTAAATATATATTTGAACACTATAATTCAATGTAATTATTTTAATATTATTCCAAAAGAACATTTATAATTCACACTCTAATTTGGGTTAAATGAATCACTACTCAGTTTTATCTTTTGAAGTGTTTTCCAAACAGGGCTTTGCTCAATGATATAGGCTTTAGTTGTTATCATTCTGGAGCAGATGCTATCTATGTGTGGTTTGGCAGTGATCTGGAAGAAGATATAAACATGCAACATTATTTACAGAAATAAGGTGTTTTTACAGGGTCACATAAAAGAATACCTTTCAATTATTCAACAAGTACCAACCTTCTGTGAGCTAAATACTACCTATGAGTTACTACAGTAATAGATACCTGTCTGTCTTAAAGAATTTCAAACATGCATGCCAAAAAGTAGAATAAGAATTGCTTTAATGGAGATCTGTTTGAAGAGTAAGAGTAAGAAACACCTAACTGCCTAGGAGAGTTGGCACAATTTACAGAGGATAAGCATGAAAAAGGAGACAACTGGTGGACAACATTCTATAAAGTAGTATGTTTGCAGTTTGACAGTTCATGACTACAACCTGACCAATATTTATACTTTAGAATTTAAAGGAAGATTTAAGTAACCAATAGGGCCAACACAGTATATATATGACCAAATGCTCTTTTGGCCCAAAATGAGTCATTTTGGTACTGGCTACCGGAAAGAGTTGCACACTGAAATAACTTTTCTGAAGGGAACAGAAGGAGAATATTTGTCAGTGCTGCTCCAGATGTGCATTTTGAAGTCAAGAACCTTAAATGGTATGACTGTATGTATGTGTCATTTTCCTCAGGTGACTCACCTTACCTATGGTGCACATAAGATTAATAGCGTTTACTGTGTTGTGTACTGGAAGTATCCGTAACTTACTACCCAGGAATCTGAAAAAACAATTCATAAGTTAAATAATCATATGACTTGCATCTGTTATCTTAAGTGGAAAGAAGCAGCAAATCTTTATTGTTTGTCTTTTATTTATTCATTCATGTTCCGCCTTATTCAATAGAGAAATTGAAATGGCTTTGTAGCCAGAACTTAAATGAAAAGTGTTCACTTTTGGTTTGGTCTTGCAGGAGAATCTCATAAATCAGCATGAACTTAGAAACTGGTCACCTTGATTCATAGAACAGCCATTTATCCTGCATTTTATAAAATATGACAGGTTAACCTTACAAAGTTTATCTTTTGGGAAAACATAACTCACTTGCCTAAAAGAATTAAGAACTGAAGTAAACACAATATAATTTAAGAAAAATAAGTCTAGTGCCATTCTCCCATACCTCTGCTGAATCCTGAACATCAGTTTCCATTCCTCGGGCCCATGGAGGGCAGCAGACAGAACCAAGAAACAATTTTGGTGAATGTTAATAAACTTCTCAATTTTGGCTAGAAATATTTCTTCAGTTGACATAAAGCATTCTTGAGCATCCATCAGTAAAAATGCAACTCCTAGGAAAGGCGAACGTAATATAAAAAAACACTTCACCATACTAATCAAAACTTTTTGTAAACTCAGTAAAATCAAAACAGCTATAAGTGTCCAGGCCCCGAGCCCATAAAGAGTAGAAATTACTTAACAAAATTCTTACACGGCAAAATAACTTGGATAGTTCTTTGAAGTGCTCTGTATAAAAGGATGACAATATTTAAGGAAAACAAAATTTTTGAGACTAACAATTTTTTTTTAGGCTAAGTCATTGTCCATAATGAAGGTAATGCCTAATTTTACTTAAAAGTTAATTTTCCATGTTATAATGATTTTTAAAGGTGAAAATCAACAAAGAAAGGTAGTCTTAAGCAAGCCTTCAATTATTTCTTGGATAAACTTTGTACCAGAACATAAACTATTATATAAAATACACCAGTAAGCAGATATCTAGGATCTCCGCAACAGTAGCCGGCTTATAAGAATGGTTCAGAAGGGAAACTTGATCTAATTAGCTCTGTAAAAAAATGATAAAATTAGTTCTTTAAAATATTTAATCTAAGGAAACTGACTATGTGATTATATGTTAATTGAGGAACTTGGGCAATTTATATAACCTCTCTGAACCTAAATTGCTTCATCTGTAAGATTGGAATAATAATTCTTTGATAGGTTTGTTGAAAGTATTATTTAAAGACAAGATAATGTATAAAAAGTGGTCAAAGTACATGGTAGGTATTCACCAAAAATATTTTACTTCTCCCTAGAGGGCTCTCTGTTCTACCAGGAATGATGACCTTGATGAGGTTGGACCACTTTCAGTCTGGAAGTCTACTTGTATTTCTGGGAGCTTTTGAAAGTGCCTGTCTTCCAAAACCTCTCCTGGAGTACAAGGTCTTTTTGCAACCCTCCTGATAAAATCCTTCACTTCCCCCTCTTTTAATCACTCTTATCATTTCCCAAGCAGAAGTGGAGCTGCCCCCTTCTATGTCCCCAGTCTTCTCATATCCTAATCTAATTCCTTCCCATATTTTGTCCATGACTTCGTTGTACAGTTTTATGATTTCAGGAACATTTGTCCCCATTTGACTCTTTTAATTAATATTTTATATTACATTCAGCAAACTTGTATAAAGTCATGAAAAACATTCTCTCATATTGTTTTTGTATATGCATTTTGACCAATATGTTGACTTGTTAATAGAAGTATTGTTAATATAAATATTGATTAATATAAGTTTTGATTATTGGGGAGGTGGCTTTGTTCTATTTTCATATCAGTTCCAAAGCAAGTGGTTTTTAACCATCCTCTACCAGACTCCACTGGTTCAGCTTTAGTTTAACAATTGGAATCTTAAAAAGGGATATATTTTGTAATTGGCCATATGTGCTTTTACAGCAGTAACGAAGTTTTATACATTTACCTCTTCCAGAAGATAATACATTAAGCTTATTACTTAGTTAATGAATTACCAAATTATTAGACTTTATACTCACATAATTTATAGAAATCTTAAATCAAGGCAATTAGCAAATGTACTGTACCGGTAAGAGAAAATATAATTGTTCCATTTTCCACTGAATCTGAATATCGAATCTTGTGGCTTCGATTTTCCAGGGCAGTTGCAATTTCACAACTCTTTAAAAAAATGTTCAGAAATACAAACTTAAGGCATGCTTAGAATAGTGTTTTTTTTAATTAAAGCTAATAAAATAAGTTTAAGTTTCTTTTATAACTATACCACTTAAAGATTTGATCATCAAAAGAGACACTAAGCATGCTCTCTATGGAGAAAAAAAAAAGTAAATTTAGTTCTGCTTAAATATCAGCTGTAGGTTTGGAAATGAGTTGTGTGCTACAGTTATGTTATTTAGGAACAGAAATTAAGGACATAATTTAAAAACTAAACTATAATTATTAGAGCAAATGCAAACTTCCTTTTAAAAAACAGCTTGGAGGGGCCGGCCAAGTGGTTCATTGATTAAGAGTTGGGTTGGGAGTGCAAGCTCCGAGCAGCAGGGCCCCGGTTCGGTTCCCACATGGGCCAGTGATGCTGCGCCCTCTACAGCTAAGATGGTGAACAACAGCTCGACCTGGAGCTGGGCTGCCATGAATCACCAGCAACACTGTAGACTGCAGTGGGGCTGCAGTGGGCTGCCGTAAGCTACCGTGAGCAGCCGGCAGCCTGCGTGAGCTGCCGTGAGCCGCCATGAGTGGCTGTCCAATGGCCAGTGACTGATCTGCCTCAGCAGGGAAGAGCTCAATAATACCAACATGGGCCAGTGAAGCGACATCCTCTACAACTAGACTGAAGAACCAAAGGACAGCAACTTGTCTGTTCCCCTTCCCAGATTCCCTAGCGCTGTTCCCCTTCTCCAGTTCCCCAATAAAAAATGTTTAAAAAAACAACAATTTGGAGATGAATTCTGACATGCATTACGTATAACTGGAAAGTAGGTGGTGATGTGTTTCTTAGATGGCTGACAGAACCATGAAGTGCCAGATACAGAATACCACAAGGAGACAACCAATTCTCCAGTTCATCTGTTTACATGACAGTTACTTTTAAAAAGTTTTAAGCCTTAGGTAAGTCAGAAAACATATATGAAGACAGCAACCAGGCTTTTGGTTTAAATGCTAACCATTTCAAAAGTCAATCTCATTTCTTATTCCACCAAGTAATTAGATCATAATACCCAAGACACTAAATATAAGTGGATAACAGTATTTCCCGATTGGACAAAACTCAAGCTTGTTATTCTCCAAGTAGATAAAAATCCCTTAGGTATATTAATTTTATTTTATATTTTTTTCTCAGGACATGTATATTTTAAACACACAGGTTGGAATTAGGTGTAAAATACATATTTCCTTTCCTTCTTAAAGAGAGCATTTTGTGCCATTCAAACAGATCCTGACCTAGAGTTCAACTATGACACTTCCCATGAGTTTCTTTTGCTATTTTAAAATTATACATTGCTTCCAGCAATGGCAGACTAAGTAATTTAGGCCAACCCTCCTGCTGAAGGCAACTGGAAAAGCTGGACAATTTTTTAAATCTGCATGAATGCATCAGAGAGCTAGCAGGATAGTGAAAAATTACAAGACCAAGATCTATACAGATATTCGAAGACATCAGACCAGCATTTAGGCCATTTTTTCCCTGAGGGCATCTGCCAATTCAGGAAAAGACCAATGAGAGGCTCAATAGAGCTTTTGACAAAAGTAGAACAGCTCTCACAGGGACTGCAGCTTACCTTCAAATCATTTCAATCCCTGAAATTGTATTAAGGTGATACTGTATTACTAGTGCTCCCTGACACCTTGCAGAAGCATTCCTTAGAGCAACCTTTCTCAATCAGGTCTCTACATTTGAACTACAGAACCAAGAAAATAAATGATTTGGGTGACTATTTTCTTTTTCTTTTTTTTTTTTGCAAGATAAAATATACTTTATTGTGACAACAAATGCACATAGTGCTATAGGTAAGGCACGCTACTAGGAATCAGCATATAATCAAAGGCCAATATGGAAATGAATGGGAAAGAATGTTATTTCTTAATGCTTAAAAGATTTAGTCCATGGTGAAGGACAGAGAAGAATTTGTGTCCACTGGGTGACTATTTTCTTAATTCTCCTATAACTAGTACCATACTAGATGAATAGGAAATAAGTTCATTTATTACATACAATAGGCACCTTAACGCTTGGGTTGCCAGATTAAGAAATAAAAATATAGAACACCCAGTTAAATTTGAATTTTTGATAAACAACATAATTTTTTAGCATAAGTATGCCCTATACAATATTTGAGGCATACTTATACTTAATTCATTGTTTATCTTAAACTCAAATTTAAATGAGTGTCCTGTATTTTATCTGGCAACCTTCTGGCATTTGGGGTTTAATTCTCTTGCAGAATAAGACTTCTCTAGAGTAATAGAACACTATTTTAGGCCTCAAATTATTTCTAGAAACAATTTTTCAAATATAAATTCCAACACACAATAAAAAGTAATCAGACATACGAAGAGACAAGATTACATGAAAGAGAACCATCAAAAATATCAGGAGGGCCGGCCGAGGGCACGATGGTTAAGA